ATCATGACCACGTGATATATCTCAAATTTTTTATAATTTAAAGATAAAGAATATGAAAATTTGAAATTTTCTACAAGTGAATTTTTTTTACTTAAACGAAAATTATTTTTTTTATCAAATTTGCTTAAATAATTTTTTTTACTTAAATAAAAATAACATTTATCAAATTCACTTAAGCAAAATAAAATTTGTTTAAATAAATTTAGACTACAAGCTGTGATTCCACCAAAACTAAATAGAATCTGAAACCAATTTTTATTAAAGTTATTTTATTATATTTTCACATGTTAGTTGGTTTGATTAGTATATTAAGATAATTATATGTTATTTTTGAGAAAAAAAGGGTTATAAAGTCATAAATTTATTTTATTAGTAATTAATTTTTATTAAGCTATCGATGTCTTCCTCTCTGAGAATTGACAACTGTTATATGGTAGAAACTAAATAATCAAATTACAAAAAAGCAAAATCCTGAGATTTTTAAATGAACTATATTAAAGCAAGAGGCGAAAGGGAAATTCATTATCTAACGTGAGAAAGATCCTTTATAACCTAAATTTGCTAATCGATCTACACAATAGTTGGATTTTTGAAGGCATGATGTAACATTACATCCTATTGTGGTTCAGGCTAGACTGAAGGTGAAATTTTCTCTAAAGATAAGTAATTTGAATTGTTTATTTAATATAAAAAATTAATTAAAAATTTTTATTATTTTTTAAAAAATTATTATTCAAATATATTGAATTATAAAATTTTTGAAATATCTTATTTAAACATAACCTTCGAGTTCTACTTAAATTTTTGCGCAACATACTTACTAAGAAGAGTTTAATGAATAACTTATATGTAAGTTTACAAAGAATAAAGAGACAATAAATATTATTCATAACCATTTTAGTAAAGCTTAAACCTTAATAAAGTGGGATAAAATAAATGATATTGAGTTAAATGTTTTAAATTACTTGTAAGTTGTCATAGGATAAAATAAAATAAACCTAACGAAATGCATTTTTTTAATACCTTTTTTTTCTTGTAAATTTTGAGGGATACAGGATATATAAGATTAATTTATTTTTCATTCAATCTTACAAAATCTAAACAATGGAATGTTAGTTTTATTATTTTTTATTTTATTTGAATTTCTTTATTACCTTTTTTTATTCTGTCTAATTTCACTCCTTATTCAATAAATAACATAAACATACTTGACACGCATGTAGAGACATTTAAGCAGGCGGCCATGGCATTCTCATTTTATTTCTCCTACTTAAATGTATTGAATTATATACACTAAATTTTTATTAAAAATAATAATATGTTACATAATTCAATACATTATTAATATTAAATATTACAAATTTCAATAAAAGTTTATTAGTTTTGAACTATAATTTTTTAATATACTTTTATTATTGATATTTTTCAAAAATGTTAAAGTATTTGACTTTTAAATTAATTTTCTAACACGTGTATAATGATACATGATTTCACTTCTGTTACTTTTTATAAAAATTAAATATTTAATTAATAAAAAATGATTAGTTATTATAAATTTATACTCTATTTAAAAAGTATTTATAATGTAAAATTGTAAAATTGATGTGTGTATTTACTTTATGAATATAATATGAGTATCTCCTAAAATACAAATTTATAATAAATAAATGATGTAAAAATTTAACAATTAATACATTTAAAAATAGTCTTTATTTTTTTATACTTAAAATAAAAGAATTATAAATAGAACATAAAGCAATAAAAATTTAATAAATAATAAATTTTATTAAAAATATAGCATATACTATTATGAATAAACTAAATTATATGACGTACAATTATAAAAATAAGGTTTAAATGTCTTTCATAATTATGTGAGCAACCACATCCTGTAACCAATTGTGCATTCAAATAAAATACGTGAGCATGTTTCCATCTCCACACATATCAATTGTCTCTGTTATGTCTCTTTTAATAAAGTTATATTTTGATGATATAGCGATTTGGGTTTTAGCATTTGCTAGCTTTATATTAATTAAAGAATTAAAAGTAAATTTTTTGTTAAAAATATTTTTAATACCCAACTTCTCATAATTTTTAATCAATGTTGTGTATTTTTTATATTTTAATCAGTATCTTTATAAAATTTATTAATATTTTTAGTTAATTTTCATGATTCCACCCATACATTTTAATTTCATACATTATCTAGAGTCGTAAATTTTAACATGTTTTGCAACTACTTTTATGGCAACCCATGAATATCTTAGAGAATTTGAGTAGATTTTTTAAAAGTAAACTTGTCTATAAAGTAAATAAACAATTTTTATCTAGTTAAATTTTAATGAATTAAGATTATACTAATTTTTAAATTAGGTCAATACTATATACACTCTACCTGTTTTCTTTCTTTTGTTTAAATTAAACCCATTTTAAAGTAACATTATTTATGGTCGATATAAATAATCATGATTTATAAAGTTTTGAATAAAATAATTTTTACTAAAAATTATAAAAAATGGTGAGCAAAGCATTGAGAGAACGGTTGTTGGTGAGCATTAATGAGATGCATGCCAAGGCCACCAAAGATTGTTCGCAAATTTACTTCGGACATGAAAATAGAGGGCTATGAATACCTCTCCCCATTGTGCACCTTCTTAATTTATGAAAAAACAGTTGGTGTAGGGACATGTTCATTCAATGCCTCAATTATTAGAGATTTACTCATTTTTGAATTTTTTTCGTAATCAATCGTCTTACCAATATTTCGAACATTAAATAAAAAAAGTGTATTAAGTATAGTTTACTATTTAGTATTTCATTAAAAGAATAGTTGAACAAATATAACAAGAGTTTTTTTTACAAGAAATAACATAAATTTAATTAAATCGATATAATAAAGTGATAAAATTGCATAATTGTGAGCTACCGGGCGGTGACACGATGAGTATTAATTAAGATTATTAATGTAAGTCTGACGCTGGATCTCCAGGACGGTGCAAGGGGAAGGAAGATGGGAGAAGTCAAACTAGGAAAGACACGGCATTGGCATTGGGACTAATATTTTTGTTTTAAAAATTATTATTATTTTATGTTTAAAAATTATATTTTTATAAGAGGAGAAATAAATTTATACTAGTATGAGATATACTTGTACTAACTTTTATCTTAATTAATATCTTTCATTATACAATTTCATTTTAAAATTAATCAAATTACAAAATTTACTATATTTTAAATTATTTAATATATATATATATATATTAATTTTTTTGTTAACCATTATACATATGTATATATTAAAATTAACGTAATATAAATTTCAAAAAAATATAAATAATAATAATTTGATTAATTTTTTTATAAAAAGAGTGTTAAAAATTTTCTTTAATATATTTATAATTATTAAATAAAATTTATTAAAAAATATAAAAATATAAAATTAATTATTATATTAAAAGTAAGAATAAGAGTCATTTACGTAATTTTTAATAAAATTTAATGACAAAATATTAAAAATATATTGCTAATAGTTTTATTTTTATAATTATTTTATTTTATTATAAATATTTAAAATAATAAATATTTATAATTTAGCATTTAAAACTATAATAGAATATATTTTATATAAAATTATTGATAATGTAAGTACAATGATTTAAATTGATCTATCTTTTTAAATATTTTTATAAAATTATTTTTAAAAAAATTAACTATTAGTTTTTAAAATTTTAAGCAGAATTTTTTTTAATCTTTATATTTTAACATAGCCATTAAACCAAATAAAAATATTTATAGAATGAAAGAATAATTTATTTAAATAAACTTATCTTTCCCTTACATTATTATATAGTATTTAATATTTTTAATTCCAATATATAACCATAAAGTGATAATTTTGAAACCGGAAAAACATTTTATTTAATATTTTTCTTCAATAGCAGTATTTGGACAACCATCGCATATTATTATTATTATTATTTTAAAATAATTACTACTTCTAGAAGAATTTTAATGAAATAATAAGTTAATATAATAAGATGAACAAATATTTTTCTTAAAATTTAAAATATTTAACAATTTTTAAATATTATAAATATTATTACTTTTTATTATTTTAAAACTGAAAGAATATATCATAATCTTATAGTGATTAGTGAAGGACGGAAATCCCACGGTGGTAAAAATATAATAATTGCATTATATATATATATATATATATATATATATATATATATATATATATATATGACGGTTGAAAGACATGTAATAAAAAATAATATTTTTTATTAAAATTATAATATTGATAATATTAAATCATGTGATATCTTATATTTTAATAAAAAATTATTATATATAAATTATTGTTTAATATGTTTTATATGATAAAAATAAAATAAAAAATGAACCATTAATTTATTAAAAATAATTAATATTTTAATAATATTTTTTTAAAAAAAATAAAAATTTAAATTTAACTCCTCTTAAATCAAGAGATTGCATTTTAAAGAATAAAGTAAATTTATTATTGTACAATAAGACACAAATATTTCGACATCAAATTCTTAAGTTATTAAAATTTCAACTTTTTTTTCATTTAATAATTATAAACACATTTAATTCTTTAAAGTGTATCATTTCACTTAAGAAAAATGTAATTTTTCAAAAGAATATGAAAAATATAGCATTTAATATCATCAACGTATTTTTAATGAAAAAAATATTTATTCATTTGCGAACTAAAATATTAATCAACAAACTTTTTAATTTAAAAGTAATTAAGTTTATAACACAGAGAGATATTTTTTATAAAAAATTATTTTTACACAGATAAAATATTTTCGTTTTTATTGTTTCTTTTAGTTTTAAGATAACAATTTATATAACGATATATAAATAATAAGATATTTTTTTATAAAAATAAAAAAAATGTAATACCAATTATTTGATATTAAAATAATGAAAATGATATATATAAGTCTAGAACTCAATAGCTAATTGGCAACTACTATTTGGAAAGCAATTAAGCTAGCCTTTTGAAATGGCTTCTCCTGTGGCACCCATCTCTTCTGCCACCATCCTCTTTAGTACAATCTGCATGCTGTCCTCACTTCTGTCAATAGCCTCTGCATCAGCTGGGGAAGCAAAGACAAGACCCTTCAAAAGGGTTTATGCCTTTGGAGACTCATTTACCGACACAGGCAACACCAAGAGTGCCGATGGTCCAAGTGGGTTTGGCCATGTATCAAACTCTCCATATGGCACCACTTTCTTTAACCGTTCCACTAATAGGTACTCTGATGGTAGGCTTGTAATTGACTTTGTAGCTGAAGCTCTATCATTGCCTTATTTGCCCCCTTACCGTCATAGCAAAGGCAATGACACTTTTGGTGTTAACTTTGCTGTTGCTGGTTCTACAGCAATAAACCATTTGTTCTTTGTAAGGAACAACCTTTCCCTTGACATCACTCCTCAGTCCATCCAAACCCAGATGATATGGTTTAATAGGTACCTAGAGAGCCAAGAATGTCAAGAATCTAAGTGCAAAGATTTTGATGATACTCTATTTTGGTTTGGTGAGATTGGAGTCAATGATTATGCCTACACTCTTGGATCTTCAGTCTCCGATGACACCATCAGGAAACTCGCAATCAGCAGTGTCTCAGGAGCTTTACAGGTAATAAATCCCTCATTGATCTGTTTGTCTTTTACACCAATTTATCACGTTATAGTGAAAAAAACAAATCTAAAACCGATTGCTTATTTAGATAAAATATTTTCTTAATGTCTGAAAATATGATTAAATTTAATTATAGTCCTCTTAACTCATTTTTGTTGCTTTTAAGCTATAAAAATGTCAAAACTTTCAAATTTTTTTTTTTTTATTATTTACAGATATTTAAACATGTTAAATCATTTATTATTTTAGAATAGCTACAAATATGATATAATTGGATAGCTGTCATATTATTATAAATGAAAATAAATTAATAAAGACAAAATCAAAGTTAAACCTATTTATATGACTAAAAATATATTTTAAAAAAGTTATTTTCTTTCGACATAGCAATTTTATGCACAGATCATCTTATCCAATTTTATTTCTTGATTTTCATTATTTGTTTTGCAGACGTTGCTTGAGAAGGGTGCCAAGTACGTAGTTGTGCAAGGTTTGCCACTAACTGGGTGCCTAACATTGTCTATGTACCTGGCTCCTCGAGATGACAGGGATGACATTGGATGCGTGAAAAGTGTGAACAACCAAAGCTACCATCACAACCTTGTTCTGCAAGCCAAATTAGAGGAATTCAGGAAACAGTACCCTCATGCTGTCATAGTTTATGCTGATTTCTTTAATGCCTACCGCACTGTCATCAAGAATCCAAGCAAATATGGATTCAAAGAGACCTTCAAAGTTTGCTGTGGATCAGGAGAACCACCTTACAGCTTCACTGTGTTTGCCACATGTGGCACACCCAATGCCACGGCATGTTCAACCCCTTCTCAGTACATAAATTGGGATGGTGTTCACCTAACAGAGGCCATGTACAAGGTTGTTTCTAATATGTTTCTGCAAGGGAACTTCACCCAACCTCCATTGAATTTTTTATTGGGAAAAAAAGAGAGGCTGGGATGAATGGTTCACCGAGAATAATGTTCGGTGTAATTTGCTTGTGCTTATGGCTCTAATGCATCTGCTAATGTAGCTTCAAGTGAGGGAATCAGATTTTATCTTCTTTTTTTCTAGAACTTATGTCTACCGCATATCTTATATCTTATGTAAGAACTTAAAAGGAATGTTGTATTTATATTTATATCATATGTGAGTATATTTTGGGTTACTTATATATCTTGTAGAAAACGTTTTAAAAATAAGTAATTATGTGGCTGTTTATAGAAAATAATTTGTTGAGAGAAAAATAAATATTTTAATAACCTTTTCACCTTAGAAAATCGAACTTTTACTTTCCCGGTGAAAAAATGAATCGTAAACAAACAATTTTGGTCCTAACTTCTCAGAAATTAGTTGTCTTGGAACCGACGAAAGGAATTTAAGTACGAAGAAATTTAGAACGGCAGATACCTTAAATTATGCAATAAATTTTACTCTCGGAATTTTAATTTGATTCGTTCTGATTCGACTTTATGTTTGCAGAGCAGTAAGTAGCACATGCCGGTGGTTGTGTACAGTTTCCTCTCTTTCTCGATAAATTTTTTGGGACCAATAATAAATTCACATATAAACTCTTTTACACGTGTAAAAATGTGAGTGGTTAGAATGATGTTGTCTCATGTCATGTAATAATTTCTCTTCTTTCTTCTCCTGTCTATAAAAGAAAAAATAATGATAAAAAAAAGTCAATTTAAACAAAGAGCTCCTAAAATAAAAAATCGTAACAAAAAGAAATGGAGAACATTTAATGTTAACCAAAGTCTATGACTGTAATAATTGAGATGACGTGTCACCCTTTCTTCCGTTCCTTTCAATGAGATGAATCTTTTTTTTTTAATGCATATTTATGGGTGTATATTAAAAAAAATTACATGGTAAATGTTGACGAAATACCCTATGTGGCACTAATTAAAGAACTAAAAATGAAAATATTTTACTGGAAAATATAATAAATAATTAAATACATCTGTTTTCATAATTTTTAATACAGTCCAACATAATTTTTAATAAAAATTTGTTTGTTTTTAATTCTTCAACCAGGGTCCAAAATATTAAATATATCCTGTTAAATATTTTAAATTACCATTTAAAGTATGTATTAATATTTTTTTATAAATTTAAGATTAAATATTTTAATTTTTAAATACTCTTTTTAATTGGCTTGTTAAATTAATAATAATAAAATAAAATAAATCTTAAATGAGGTGCAATAACAAACATTTTAGAGTGATAACCGATGGAGGCATTTTTTAAGGGTCATGCATAGACTTTTCAAAGCAATAATAGATTGAAATTTGATCTTTCTTAGAAATTGAATTATTTATTTGAAATTTAAGCAAATTCTATAAAATAAAATAAAAACTCAAAAAATACGTTTAAGTCAATAAAATTTACTTAAGCAAAATTGCTAGCATAAATATACAAGATCCAAAGAGAGAAATAAGTAAGTATAGGTTGATAATGTTACACAGGATTATGAAGAAAAAAATAAGGAGGATAAAGAAAACTTTTCTTGATTCATAGAAGGAGTTGAAAAGAAGTATCAAGATCAATAAAAAATAAAGATAAAAATAAACCTTTTTGATTAAGTGAATTTTGCAAGTTTTCTTTGTTATTTTATAGAATTCACTTAAGCAATCTTGAATGGATGATCATCTGTCATAACAAAAGAAAATTTGGATTCATAATAGATTTAGTGCATTAGTTCAAATTACTCTAATACTACAATAACTCATTATCTTAGATAAAAATACATATTTACAAGTTTGTAGACATGTCATGCGTTTAAACAAGCAATTGCATATATCTTTTGTGCCTCATCATCATATAAATTATCAGATAAATATATATTTTTAACTTTAATCCTACTTGTTTTTACCTCAATAAGAATTTTCTTCTTCCTCTCTATGACTAAATAAGGTGTTAATAATGTACATGAAATTTCTATTAAAAACAACTATTCACCTCATTTTCATTCAATATCTTTATAATCACAATCTTTCTTTCATTCCACGATCTTAATCAGAAAAATGATTAAAAGTCAGCAAGATTATATAAGATCTTGATTTTTCTTCTTTGGATCATAGGATCAACAATTCGAATTTTCACTACACATATTTTTAGATCAAATTTTTACAACCTATTTTTTAAAAACATGTTTCCCGGACAGTTTTTGACTTGATTTTAAACTTTTAATCTCTTATTTTCATACAATGACTATTTTTCTAGTTAGGTCACAAAGTTTTCTCTCCATCTTTTCTTTATTTTGAAACAACCTTTGCATTATTGTTATTTCTAGGTTTGGGTTTGGTTTGTGTGATTTCTGTCTATACTATTTCTATATTTATTTTTTCGATTGTTGCTCTACGTTTCAAAACGAGCTACTTTCTCTCTATGTTGATATTCTATTTTATGTGATCTAGGTGTTGCTGCCTATGTTTTTTGTTTATGTTCTTTTTTTCATTGGTTCTATATTACTTTTGAAGTTTTTGCTTGACGGTGTGTTATGACTTAACATTCAACAATATTTTGTGACGGCGCTCTTTTATTATTTCTTATTTGACTTGTATTAGATCTTTAAGTCTGAATCTTGAATATATATTCAGTTAAATTATGTGATTTAAATGTTTTTATTTTGTTTTATATTATTATATATAAAAGCATAATTTTGAATATTCAGTATTATCTTACAATCTTTATTACGCATACGATTTACAATCTTGGACCTCACTTTCTATTCTACGTAAAATTCTAATTTTGCACAGTAGTTGATATACTTCACGAAGAAAGTGTAATAACTGAACTCTAAAAAAAAATAATAATAATTCTTCAATTATTTTTTTCTCGTATGTACATAAATTTTTAATTAAATTAGGTATTCGTAATACATAACGAAAAGAGCATCTGGGATATATTCTGGCAGGTTATTTACAAAGACATAGAGACGCAACATATCTTCTCTGTATAAAGTTTGTATATCAATCACATCGCTACTGCATGTTAGAACCCACAAATCCCCTGACTTTACTCTCTTTAGACTTCCTCGGCAAAATGGACAAGATTCTGATCTTGTGTTCCTGTATCATAAAGTGATAAAAAAAAACATGTATTAATTGCTAAGAATAACCCACTCTTCAATTCTCATATTAACAATGACTAGTAAACTATTACCGGTTAATTGCATAAAAAAGGAGATAGTAATTACCAGTCTTTGTAACAATTTATACACATAGCATGGCAGCAATCAGGCAAAACCATTTTGGTGCAAGATTCTAAGCAAACGCCACACTCATTTTCTCTCTCCAAGTCCAAATCAGAAGGCTTTCCCTTGTCCTCCTCATTCCTATGGATGCGATGCTCTTTATCTTGAGCAATGTCAACATCTACTAAATCCCGGTGAAGCCGCTGGAGAGATGGTAATATAACACCTGCATTTATAAATTAATAATGAAACCAAATAGTTTAGTGCAAAACAATAACAGTAGAACACTACTGATTGGTCCTTACTCCTTTATAAAGAAAAGAAAACAATAATGCTATTTATAGAACAATATAATAGTGTTTAAATCACTAAATTGATTAAATCAACCAATGGGAATAAAGCAAAATGCAATAATATTAGTAGCTCCGGAGCATTCACGTAACCTTCTATGCAGTAACATAGTATTAGTATACTATAAGTGGAAGAAAGGATTAGTACTTACTATAGAAATCCCTTATGGTTGCTTTCCTTCCACAAGAATAAATATCTGACTTCCCATTGGTGTGCACCTAAAAGAGAAAAGGAAAAAAAGGAAAGATCGATAAAAGTTATAAAATTGAGGAAAAAAGCCAATAATTCAGTGCAGAAAAAGAAGGGCAAAGACACTACCTTATACACAACTACCCGGAAAAGATTCAGATGATTTGAAAGTAGACATGAACATGAACATGAGCAATCCATCCATTGAAATAAAAATAGAAAAATGGGTGCCAATTTATTGTAAACTAACTTCATTTGAAGGTAAGCCCCGCCTTTGCCCCTTGGAATAGAAGCTGCCCTGCATACAGTTTCGAATTTAAACCAAAATATTTTATGGTCTTAGCCTAAAAAAATAGTAAATCTTTATTGAAAAAGTATATTTTATATCTTAATCTAATCATCTCAAGTCTCAACCTTTAAGATAAATGTATTCTCAGATTCTTCCTTTGAATCCCAAGCATCACGAGGGCACGTCTCATAGAATGCCAATTACATTAGTTAAAAACCATATTGCCACGACCATAGCAACAGAGAGAGAGAGAGAGAGAACTTACAGCACGTTGGCATGTTGGATGTCAGCTTCAAGTGCCTTGAGGGAGTCTTGGAAAGAGGGTGGTGAATCGAGCATTTGGTAGCGCAACATTTTTCAAAAATGGGAGTATGATCTTTACCGTGGAAAAGGAAGATGAAGTGATTATAGAGAAAGAAAGGGAGAGAATAACAACACAAAAAAGCCATGGAAATTTGTTGGGGTTGACCAAGAACAGGCAGAGAAAAGGTCTTTTGAGTTTTGAAGACGCTTAGTGGCACTTTGTTGACCAGCTCTGCCGTTCCAACATCATATCTCCATCGATCAGAACAGAGTACAATTATCATCATTCATCGATCAGAACAGAGTACAACATATTTTTTGAACTTTGACTTTTGTTTGTTTACGTAGAAAATTTCCAATACCTTTATTGACAGCGAAAAAAATAAAAGAACAATAAGAGCCTTCTTTAAAAAAAATTAAAAAATTCTGTTTCAGAAACTTAAAAGGGTGCAGAAATTAGAAACATAAAATTCCTCACCTTTTATTTTCATCTCTCTTTCAGTATTGGGACGAAAGAGAGGTAATGGATTATTATGTTTCGGTATGAAGAAGGATTAATTCGAAAGATATAATAAATACAAAGGATAGGACAAATGTTTAATATTATTTTATTTTTTATGTTTATAAGATACTTATATATTTATATTATCTATTTTTTAAAATATATATTTTATCTTGTAAAAATATTTGAGTTAAAATTTAACTTTCACCTCTTGTAAGTTAAAATTTATAATAAATATTATTTTAATTAAATAAATACTGAAAATATATGTTAAAAAATATACTATCATATTTTGTATTTCTTACTGTTATCGGAAAAATAACATTTATGCCAGTCAAAATTTTACTCAGTCACCGCAAGGCTTTATTACTTTTTAAGTCAAGTTAATCAGTGTCCTAGCTAAAAAGAAAAAAAAAAATACTAAAAATGATAAAATAGTCATAAAGGTTTATTGTTATCTTTTAAATAAAAAAATAGTTTTAGTTCATTACATTTTTCAAAAAAATTACAAGTTTAAGTAAGATTGAATCATATTTTTGTCAATATTCATCAATTAAAATATCACATTTCATACAAAATTAAAACATTAAATTTTAAGTTTTCAAAATTTTGACTTCACACTCTAAAAGTTTTTAAAGTTTTATAAAATATTTTACTTTTGAAATTTTTTTATCTCAAATTTATCTTAGTTTTTCAATTATTTTACTAAAAAAAGTTTTTGGAATTAATGTAAAAAATAATGAAAGAACTTAATTAATTCACCTTTTATGGGTTACATTAGAAGTATAATAGAATAATTACATAGATAAATTTGTTTGCGTGGATTATTAACTTTAAAAATGTTTTATATAATCAATTATTTGTTATAATGAATTATATGAGATAAGTTTTATGGTTGGATATGTCACGTAAAAAATAATTTGAAGGTAATTTATTTTATTTAAATTTTTAAAAAATGTTTTTATAAAAGGGTACCAAAATATTTTAAACAATTTATTTATAATTAAAATAATTAATTGTTATAAATAAAAATTCATTGACTTCTATATAAACCTTAAAATCTTCCTGGCAACAAAATGCTATTTTCTTTGCTGAAACTATATTAAAGAAATGCTTAAACAGTAATATCAACAATTTATTTTTTTCTCAATCATATTATAAAATAATTGCATCTAAACTTTTTTAATGATGCAAATAAATATCGACTAATAATTAAATTATAAAAATTTAAATAATATTATATTAGAAAATGAATATTTAATATAACAAAGATTAATTACAACGTGAAGAAAAAAATTAACTCTTAAAACAATTTTTTATTTAAAAATATATACTTGCAAAATAAAAAATATATAGAGTTAAATTAAAATTTAATCATACATTTATGGTAAAAATTAAATTTAAGAATAAATTATGTATAAAATGAAATTAATTTTCTTTTTAAATCCAGATAAAAATTAGTGATTAGATTAAAGAAAAGCGGCTTAATAATTTAAATAATATTTTTTAAAAATTAATTACTAAAATAAAGTAAAAAAGAAATTTATTTTCTGTCTGGATAAATTTTTGTCACATAAGCAGTTATTTTTTATTTAAATTAGAGGAAATTATTTTTTATTTTTTATTTAACTATTTCATCTACAAAAGAGATGAAACACTTTACAACTTGACACATGTTATTAGTTTCACACAAAGCAGAGACAAAATATATTAATTTATTTCGTTTAATCTACAGATAAAAAATAAACGACAAAGTGTTCATATATCCTTAAATTCGTCTCAACTGAAAATGAAATTGTATCTAAATTTATTCGTCTTTGTAAGGGACGAAATTAGTATTACCCTGGATATGTGTGCATATCTTTCAGCGATTGTTTAGTGATCCAAATCAAAAAGCAACCTAATTAATGACAGACTTGGATAAAATATAAAAGTAAATAACAAATGGTTAACGAAGTTTATACTTGATTAACATGCTTGTTTATGCCTAGTTATGGCTAATTTTTGTTTTGTTTTGGCCCAGGTTACTGAAAAAAGAAGATTAGATTAATAATTTTGGTTCACTCACTCCTTAAATTATATCGAGAAATAAAGTGATTTGAGAATAAAATTAATTTGCTGCATAATCTATGTTTTACATTTTTTTCTTCCAAATCTAACTTACTTTACGTACAACAGATTTGTAAAGAAAAATTCATGCGGTTGATACAAGTATATCTTACTTTGATAAGTTTTCTTCCATTAAATTTTATCGTCCATAACCCGCAATGATTATTAGTATTACTATATCTAACAAGACTAAAGAAATGCTAACAAAAGCACTATTTATATACTTTCTTGTCTTCTTGTTACGATTTCTTAACTGAGAAATCATTTTAGAGAAATTATAATTTTTATAAAATAGAAGATTAAATGAATAAATAGTAAAGTGAAGAATTTTTATTATAAAAATCTTTAAAGAATAATAACACCCTTATTAAGCTGCACAGTGTACATCACACAAAGAAACACAACACTTCTTTTACACCAGGATACGAGAAAAGTAATGGTACTTTATTAACACTACTTTCGTCTGAAATTAAGACGATAATATATTTCGTCTTTGTTTTATGCGAAACCAATAACACGTCAAATTATTAAGTGTTTCATTTCTTTTTTAGATAAAATAGTTAAATAAAAAATAAAAAATAATTTTATTTAATTTAAATACGAAACAACTGTTTAGATGACAAAAATTTATCTAGACAAAAAGTAATGGTTTTTTTTTTCACTTTATTTTGATAATTAATTTTTAAAAAAATATTATTTAAATCATTAAGCCAAATAAAAGGTTAGCAAGATTCTCTTCTTTACCAAATGCTATGTGCATTGCATCATGGGATGACCCATCATCCAAGCCAAAGCGTTTCAGAATTTTTTTAATCGCAAGTTTGAACAGAGAGTGACAGATGAAAGAGGTCACAGGAATTGCTACTATTTTCGTTTTCTTGATTCTTTGTTTTAAAGAACTCGTCCATGTTTCGTCGTCGCCTCTGTTATATGGAAACCAGGTAATGGCGTGTGACTTCAGATTGGATTTCTAATGAACAAAAATTGCATGGTGTATAACTTCTTATGAGTGTTATTTTTATTTGAGAAGAGCATGAGATTGATTTTCGATACTTAATTAAGAATAATCGATGTTTGGTTTTTGTTGGTGAATGAATTTGCAATAAAATAAATAGCTTCACTATGAAGAATTTCGAGTTTGGATTGTGGAAATTGGAATAATGAGTTTCTAGGGTTCAGTTCAGTGTTAGATTATATAGTTTTTGGTTGATTTAATCAGAGTCTTTATGCTAAGCTTTTATTTCATTTGAGCACTGAGCCTCAATTCTATCGCCAGAATTTATGAAGTTAACACTCGTTTTCTTTCCTCTTTTGCTCCAGGTTTTTGAGAAATCTTCTGCTGGAAGGTATTGAAATGAATTCGCAATTTATTCTTTGTTTTTTAATACTTCATCCAAATATCGAGATGATTTACTTTGATATTTAGCTTTTATTCCCAAACAGATACCTATAGTTTCATTCCTACTTTATAACGAGTATAGAACTTATTCTTTTTTGCTTTTCAGTAGACTTCTTTTTTATACCTTAGTTTGTCGCATGATTCAGTCTCATGCCTGACTAAGCTGTGTTTTTTTATTGTAGAAATCTTAAACAAGAACAAGAACATGCTCATGAAGTGCGTTGCTCAAGGGAGAGAAGTAGGGCAGCTTGGAAAGTGATAGAGGATGTATGAAAAAATTCCTTTGGCAATCATTATGAATTATGACATTGCAGTATAAAGTTAAAATTTGAATCACATCCATGAATATTTGTAGAAACATCAAGCATGTATCATTATGAAATTGGATCAGTGTAAATATCTAGGTTCAGTTAAACTCGTTATAAAATATCAAGTCCCTATTGCAGTTGACACATGGATTTTCAGCATATGCTTCTTTTTTCCTCTCTCTCAATAATACGTTTCTTATATATGTTTTTGTAGTATTTGACACCATTTGTGGAACAAGAAAACTACCAGCTTTCTAGTAAGTGCAGACTTCACCCTGAAAATGATATATTCAGGGATCAGGAAGAACACAAAATTTCCATTGATAGACATGAATGGCAATGTGGATATTGCAAGAAAAGCTTCCGTGAAGAAAAATTTCTTGATCAGCATTTTGATAACAGGCACTACAATCTTCTGAATCTAGTATGTCGATTCTCATCCCTTTCTTATTTTATGTGGAGAACATATACAAACTTTTTCATCTTTTAATTTTATCAGTTATCAGATGAGTTTAGTATTCATAATTGCTTGTCACCCGTCACCCTTTTTTGTATATAGAGCTTAGATATGCTTGCCATTGAGATATTCAAACCCAAAGATTATCTTCTTTTGTTTTTATATCTGGCCAGAATTCTCATATTGAATCAATGTTACCTTACAGCTATTCTGTTTTATATGTCAAATCTCAACATGCTTCTTAGTTCATATTATTTTTCTCTGTTACGGCAATATGTGATCCTTTATTATTAAGCCTTAATCAAGCTTCTCTTTTAGGTTATCATTCATACCTTGTTCCTGTTAACTTCAAACATTTTTGTTATTTTTAAATACATGTTAGGTCAATATCCAAGATATACTGATATAGATACCCTTACACATGAAGCTAATCTGATTTTGCACAATTCAATCAGTTTTGCCCTACATGTCTCCCCACTAATTTTCCTTAAAATTCCCTTGGAATGCATAATTTTCTGTATGGCCTGAGAATAAGTTAAAATTATTAGTTGGCTTTCAACAACATGAGGAAATAAAAAATTGGCTAATCTGAGTATTAATCAGATTGGAGGTTTCAATGAGTTTGAGTCTTACTTTAATTTTACTTGCAATTCTACTTGATGTTTTAGTATTAATCAGAAAATGTTGTTTCTGTTACTTGGTGGATTCATTTAATATAGAGTCATGGAAAGTGCTTGGCTGATTTATGTGGAGCATTGCATTGTGATGCTGTGATGAATTCCAAGTCCTCTAGAAGCAAGTGTAATCCAGCAGCTGCTGCAAGAAACCGTCACCTATGTGAGGTTGCTTTCATTTTTTATTTGCTTTCACTGATCATTGTACTCTCACCTATTCTTCCTAATCCATCTGCTCTCTTTGTACAGAGCCTTGCTGATAGTTGTTTTCCTATAACTGAGGGTCCATCAGCCGGCCGTCTTCATGGTATACTACTATACTTATATTTTCTTAACAATTTTCTACTTATGATGTTTCTTGTCACTTTTCTTCAATTTTCTTTTTTTATATATATATTTTGGTCTTTTTTGATTTGTTTCTTATGGTGATTTCCCGAAATGCTGGTAGAATTGTTTCTGCACCAATTTTGTGATGCTCACACTTGCTCAGGGAAACATAAACCCTTCTCTAGAGGAGGCAAGGTGAAGCCTGATTATCTTATTAGACTAATTTATTATCAATATACCTTTTAATAGAACTCTGTCATTGCTAACTCTAGTAGTAGATGCAAATCTATACTTCCACTCAATAGATGATCTGTGTTGGGAGGTTTCTAGCCTTGTTCTATTTCACAAAGTCCCTCCTTAAAAAGCTTTATTGACATTTCGCTTATGCTTGCTTTTTTGGCTGGCTCAAATTACCATTTACGGTCAAACTTGCAGTTATGTTTCCTTTTCTATGGGGAAGTTTTTGAAACTTTTAGGCATTAGCCTTTTGTCTTCTCAATTCATTATGCGACAATTTCTTAAGATTTTTGTACATTATAACTTATTACCACAGTTAATACTTAAGAATAGAGCTGCTATTTATCAATCCTGATATTTTGCCTCTGCAGGATCAAAAAAGTTTCTTCCGCCTGGCTGCTGGAGCATTGATCTTGGTGCTACTTCCAGTGTTTTATCTCTTTCTTTATTTGATACAGAGGTACTATTTCTATATTATTAAATGCAATTTAACCAGTCAGGTTTTTCACCAATATTCATAATGCTATTTGGCAAGTTGCAGTGATATGAAAAGTCGAACTCAAGAGCTTCGTCGCATCTCAAAAACTAGATGGAAAGCAAAACCTTCATGATTGGTAATGTTTCTCTTTTAAATGGCATACCTTCGTAATTAAATGACAATGGGTTGCAATGACAACAAAATTTCCATTAATTAAAAATTAACTAATATCATGTAGGTTGTCTATTAATTCTGATGATTCTGTTGTTGCAGCCCTTTTTCTCATTTGGCTTAAATGTACTGTTTATTATCTTTCTGCTGTGTGCGTGTGTATACGTTGTGCAGTTGGCAAAGCATTACCTTAGTAAACGAGGAACAAATCTCTGTGTTGCATTTTTTTTTAATTTACCACAACTTTATTTTTGTTATTACTAATCCATCTAAACATGTTTATGTCCGTGCACATTTTATGGAGGCTTTGTTTTCTTTACTGAGCAATATTCAATGTCTTAATGAATTGTTCACTTCAACTATATATATTCTCAACTGCAATTTTGAGCCATAGCTGTTTGGCATCAGTTCTCCAATGTATTTGTCAACATCTAGTTCTATTGGATCTCATTTATTTCAGAAGTGTTTCTCTTTTCCCTACATCTTCTGTCAACAACATATGGTGGGCCGTGTCTCAAAGATTCTCCATTGAATTGCTTTTGTTTCTACTTATGCAAGACTTTTTACTTTCTTGTATGTGGAACTCGTTTATTACTACAGGTTAGAATGTTGCAATCATCATCTAAGACCGGAGGATATACTGCATAATGTCAATTTTGGTCTTCCTCTCAGAAGATTTCTTTTTGCGTCGTCAGTGTCAATGAAGGAATTGTGTGAAAGCGAAGGAAATCAAAATTTGTACTGGGGTAAACTTCCCTGAGGTGCTTTATTGATGAAGGGCAGCAAAACATTATTTGAAGATCATAGATCTTTTGTCCAAAAGAGGATATTACCAGAGCAAATTTATGTGATCATTCGTCTTCAGTCTTACAAACCTCATTCAACTAACAAAGCAACTAGATCCAAGGCCATATTCATAGAAGTTGTTCTTCTTATAGCCAAAATAGTGTTTGCATTCGTAACCACTCTTTCGTTAACTGCTGATTTCGTAATGAATGCAATTCGCATCATAAAGCATTCTTGAAGGCAAATTCATAGAATTCCAGTCTCAGAATGCAGTGACAATTCCCATCCCCTGGTCTAGAATTTTGTGTCCTTTTTTCAGTCTTTCTTATAATTTAATTAATGAAATAAATTTTTTTAAAAAAATTGAGCTGGGTTTGTCGGTAATACTAACAAGAAAAAAAGACATCATTATATATTTACCGTGTAAAAATGTTGCAATTTTACACAATAATAAATGAATTTAATTTTACACTATCATCCAATCATGTATTAGTAAGAATCATTTATTTCTATAATAATTAATGTAAAAAGTATATATGTGATGTATTTTAATTCTATAATAGTGTACAAGTTTTTACACTTACAATACATGAAAATTAAAATCAATAAATTTTCATTAAAAAGTTGGTCAGATTATTTCTTTTGGGTCTATTTGTATGAGTGACAAAAATTAAAAATAAATAAGGTGAAAAATAAGTAGAAATAAAATAAAATTGTAGTGTTTGAATTTTTTTTTCTTCCATTTGTTTGAATGGGTAAGAAAAGAGTCTGAATAAAATAAGTAAATTGTATTAAAAAATATGTATAATCATTATAAAAAATTGTAAAAAATTTAACATCCTTACAATTATATTTTTAATTAAATTATTTTAAAATTTATATTATACAATAATTATTTAATAATATAAATAAATAAATTTTAAACTACATTCAACTTTTTTCAATTTGGAGGAATTTTTTTTTTTTTTAATGAATCCGGTACTTAAAAATCACATACAACTCCTCTTTTTTTTTTAAAAAAAAAAAAAAAACCTCTTGTAATTCTCTCTCTCTCAAGTTCACCGATCTAAACAATGGCTTACATTGTAGCAGGCGGAATAATTTAGAATTGATTGAATTAAATTTGTCGTCGGGGCAATCAACCCTTCTATCTAATCAACTTTCTTAATTGGCTTGGTTCAAAATGTACATCAGAACTAACTTAATTTAAATTAGTTAAAATTGAGATATTTTTTATTAGATTCATTTAACATATAAATAATCGTCTTTGCACATTATATTAAATACAAACCTAAACAGTTTATCGATATTATATAATAAAATTAATTGTTAATCCTATAATTAGAGCTTATTATTTAAAATAATATTTATTAAAATTACTTTTTTTTAGTTTGTCACATGTATATTTTAAGATTAAAATTAATTAAGAATGATGTCTGAATTACATTTTTTTTTTAGTTTTTACATATTTTTTAATTTTGTTTTAAATTTTACATATCAAAATTGTTATTTAATTTTTCTTTGTTACCTTATATAAATTTATATTTATAAAAAATATTATTATCTTATATAAATTTTTAAATTTCCTATAAATATCTATTTATATTTTAATGTTTCATATATGTAAAAAAAATTTATTTCGTTATTAAATTATATATATATATATATATATATATATATATATTTTGAAATACATGTGTATTGCATGAGTGAACCAGTATATGTATAAATTTAAGCTATAAAATTATATTTTCCTTTATGTTTAATCAGAAAGTTATTAAATAAGTATAAATAATATATATGATTTTAGTTTGATTTGAATTTAATTGATCATAAAATTTAAATTAGTACACTACAAAGAAAATGTTTGCTTCCCTATTTTATAATTTTTTTTTCTAGATTGGCTTAGTTTTATATCCCATACAAGAATTTTAAAACTTTTCCTTTTTTCTTTGGTCATTGAATTTTAAAACTTTTCTAAAACAATGGTTACTTGAATTACAGTGAGAGCCCAACCAGGTCCAATCGGACAAAATCACTTACACTTGGCTGAGTTGGCTCATGCCCCCAGTCCGAAATGGCCGTCTCTACAATATTCCTCTCTTTGACGTTACCATGCTCACACCTCCGTCTTCCCAAGACCTCATCACGGACACGGTGGTCTTCGGCGGTGACCGCTGCAGCCTCAGCACCCTTACGTGCAACGGCAAGCAACAGCGATGCTTCAATGATTGGCATGCTGTACCCTGCACTGGCCTATTCAACCATACTTTACTTCAAGTCAACATACAACGTCCAGATCGTCGTGCACGATGACGAGCCCGAAGACAAACTCATCAACCGCTTCAGAAAGGAGGTCCTCAAGGCCGGTGTTCTTCAGGAGTGCCGACGCAGACGGTTCTTCGAGAACAAGCACGACAAGATCAAGAGAAAAACCCGCGAAGCTTCTAGAAGGAATCGAAAAAGGTTTTTTTTTTAAACCTTTGGCCTCCACTTATTTTTTTTAAACTTAAAAGTATACATTGATGCATATAATTAATATTCATTTCCGAATTAAGGTCTCTTTGGAATAACAACTTATTATTTTTAGATTATTTCACTGAGCTTTTTGTGCAGCTTATTTTCATGAGTTGTTTTGAGTTTATCCCGATAAATTTATGATATTATTTAAAAAAAATTATTGAAAAAAAAACTACTCGAACGTTATTTAACATTTGTATAAAGACTGCTCAACGTAAATTTTTTAAATGCAAGAATCGGTATATAAAGGAATGTCACTCATGCATTTTAATCTCAAGAAATCCTAAAAAGCCATGAATGGCACTGTGAAAGAAAGCTTGTAGAATAGATACAAGGAGAAATGAAGAAGATGATGAAAAATAGTATTTTTCTTAATCGAGAAAGTAATGAATGAATATACAAGTTGTTATATATAATTACAAACTATTTTTTTTAACAACTAATAGTTATAACTGAAATCTATATGCTAAGATCCCCCTTCAAGCTAACCGTTCCCTAACAATGTGGCAATCAATATCGATATATTTGATTCTTTCGTGGAAGATAGGATTCACGGCTATGTGAAGAGCAGGATGATTGTTACAAAACATGTTGTCAAAAATTAATATGAAAATCTTGGAGTAAGAAAGTAAGTTATTGTAATTCACATGTGGTACTAGCAAGAGCACGATATTCAGCTTCAGAAGAACTATGAGACACATTTGCCTATTTTTATGATTTCCATGAAATCAGAGAGGAACCACGATAAACTAAATAACTAGTAATTGATTTGCGTGTGTCAATACATTCAACCCAGTCTGAATCACTAAAAGCTTTTAGTTGAAGTATGTTTTTTGATGAGAAATGAATTTCTTAGCCTAGAGCAGTTTTAAGGTAGCACAGAATTCTAGAAGCCGCTTGCTGATGTGCAGATGTGGGATGAGACACAAATTGACTAAGATGTACTGCAAAAGTAATGTCTGGTCGAGTGTTAGTGAGATAGATTAATCGCCTAATGGGTCTTCGAAAAGAAAAAGATTCTGTATCAGATAATGGAAGACCAGATGTTTGATGTAGCTGTGTACAATAATCAATTGGTGTAGAAGTCGGTTTGTAGCCTAGCATGCCAGCATCATTAAGAATATTCAAAGTGTATTTTCTTTGACATATATTAATACCAGATTGGCTTCAAGCAATTTCAAAACCAAGAAAGAATTTTAAATCTCCAAGGTCTTTTATGCGAAAAACAATATCCAACATTTTGGTGATATGAGATATTTCAGAAATGTCATTTCCAGACAAAACAATGTCATCAACATATACTAGTACAACAATAAAAAAATTTTCTTTATGTTTGGTGAACAATGAATAATCAAAAACAGATTGCTTATAGCCATGTGACATGAAAAAAGTAGATAATCGAGCATACCACTGCCTACTAGCTTGTTTTAAGCCATAGAGAGATCTTTGAAGTTTGCACCCTTGGCCAGGTTTAGATGATTTCATTCTTGGAGGAAGTACCATATAAACTTCCTCATTAAGATTACCATGTAGAAAGGCATTGTTGACATCAAGTTGTTTGAGATGCTAATTGTTTACAGTAGCAAGAGCTAAAAGTAGTTTGATTGTAGTAATCTTTGCAACTTAGAAAAATGTGTCCAAATAGTCTTGTCCCTCAATTTGAGTATAACCTTTACCAACTAGTCGTGGCTTATATCTTTCAATGCTTCCATCAGCATGGTGTATGATTTTATAGACCCACCTAGCTTATAGCAGTCTTATGAGGATCCAATGTTCATGTTTAAAAGCCTTAGTGTAGGATATTGGTTCAATTTGTGAAGAGATAGACATAATAAAACTGTGGTATGAAGGAGACAATCTATCATATGATAAAGTTGAGGATAAAGGATACCGAATACCTGAATGATAAGAAGTGACAGTTGATGCAAATTTAGTTTGAAATTCATTGTACTTTCTTGGTCTATACCTTGGTCGATCAGATCTGCGAAGCTGAGATTGTCCTTCATTGAAGGATGAAGTATCAATTGATGCATTAATTTGTGTATCATTGAGAATACTCTCACGAGAAGATGAAGAGGGAACAATTGAATGTGACTCAGAAAAATTATGTGTCTCAGAAAGAGGAGGATATGAATCATCAATATGAATTATTATAGGAGGGTGTGAAAAAGAGGGAGGATTATCCGTGACAGAAATAGCATCAAGATAAGGGAAACAATCTTCGTAAAAAATGACATTTCTTGATATTTCAATAGCTCAAATTTTAAGGTTAAAGGTTACATAATCCTTTTTGTGGGGTTTGAAGCCGAGAAAAACACATGGTAAAACTCTTGGATCAAGTTTCTTTCTATTAGTTGTAAGAGTACTTGTGTAACAAAGACACCCAAAGACACGAAGCAAGGTAATGTCGTAAGGGATAGTGTATAATTTCTGATATGGAGAAAAATTATCAAGAAAAGGTGTAGGCAAATAATTAATGAGATTCGCAGCATAGAGAAGAGCATATGACCAAAAAATAGGTGGTAAATGGGATTGAAATAGAAGAGCTTGAGTTACATTTAACAAATGTTGGTATTTCCTCTCTACAATTCCATTCTGCTAAGGTGTTTCAACACAAGAAGTTTAGTGCACTATACCAGTAGTAGCATAAAATTAGGTCATAATAAATTTTGTTCCGTGATCAGATCTTATAGTTTTAACTTTGGTTTCAAATTGCCTTTCAACAAAAAGATCAAATTTTTGTAATTGAGTTTGTGTCTTAGCTTTAGAAACCATAGGAAAAACCCATACAAATCTTGAATATCTATAATGGTTAAGAAATATTTGACCATGTAGAGGTGTAACTGAAGAAGGCCCTCAAATATCTACATGCAATAAAGATAGAACAGTAAAAACACGAGAGGTACTCAAAGGAAATGTCAATTTTCTTTGCTTAGCCTTATGGCATGTATCACATATAAAGTTTGAATCAGAAAACAAAATGGGATAATGTTGTTTCATGAGACGCAACCTTTCTTAAGAGGGTTGACCTAATCTATAGTGCCATAAGTCTAATCATTTTTTCACAGGGAAGAGTAGAATTAGAAGTAGCAATCATAGAACTGACCCTAAAAACTTTACTTGACCGTTTCTTCAATTTGTAATAGTCCATCTTTTGCATCAACTATACCAATCATCTTCTGGTTGGCTATTTCTTGAATCAAGCATTTATCAGCAAAGAAAGTCAATTTACAATTAAGTGAAAAAACAAGTTTGGAGATAGAAATCAAGTTAAAAGTAAAATTTGGCAAATATAGGACATTGGCGAGTGTAAGGGAATTAATGAGTGGCACCTGAATCAAGGATCCATGTGACCTGATCATGCTTGTTGATAGTGCAAATCAAAGGTAAATCATTACCTATAGTGCCATGATCATTAGATGGTAAGATTGTACCAAGTTGGTTTATGTGAGAAATGTTGCTTGAAGTTGAAACTCCATGATTTGTCTGTTGTTGAAGCAAATTCATCAAGGCCTCATATTGTTGAGTTGTGAGCTTCATATCTTTTACAATACAATCATGTATTTGTTTATCATTGTTTTCTGTATTGTTTCCATCTGCGACAGTACTATTCACTGATTTATAAAATCTATGACAGGGTGGATAACCGTATTTCTTGTAACATTCTTCAATAGTGTGACCATTTATTCCACAGTGAGTACAAGCTTTAATAATTCTTTCCACAGTATTACCTCTTCCATAAGAGTTGCGACCTCCTCTTCCTCCCCTATTAATCAAGAGATTAGGAGGGTATCCATTTTTCTTAAAACAATTATCTATCGTGTGGTTAGCTCTCTTGCAGTAACTACAAGAAATATTAGATCCAGAAATTGTGCTAGTAGCATTGATTAAACTCATATCTCCAATCAAATTGGAGTTAAGAAATTGACATTCTTGCTTAACTGCATATGAAAATACCTTAGTAATGGGTGGCAAAGGATCCATCATTAAGATATTAGACCTCACAGTACTATATTGTTCATTCAATCTTTTTAAAAATTGCATAAACGATCTTGCTTTTTTCTTTCCATTATACTAGTAAGAGCATCACAGGAGCATTTATAAACACATGTACACACAGGATGAGGTCTTTAACTTTCTAATTCATTCCAAATCACACGCAATTTTGTGAAATAATCGGTAATAGAAGTATCACCTTGTTTAATAGAAGCCATATCTTGTTGTAATCTTGAAATTCGCAGCAAATCTCCTTGTGAGTAGCGTGATTTCAACTCCTTTCAAATATCAAGAGCATTATCCATCCACAATATGCTTTGTTGAATTGAAGGTGATACAGAATGCACTAGCCATGATACAACCATATTATTACATCTTTTCCATGCTAAGTGAAGAACATGGTCAGATGCTGGTCTTTGAAACGATCCATCAACAAATTCAATTTTGTTTTTCGAGCTCAACGCAGTGAGCATAGATTTACTCCATGAATTGTAGTTCGTGGGATTAAGAACTGGTGAAACAAGATATGTTGCAGGATTTTCACTAGGATGCAGATAATGGGGGCTGTGAACATTTAAGGATTGATCTTTCCCTGAACTCATGTTTGGGGAGAAGAAGAAAACAAATCAAAAACGAAATTAGCAAAAACTGATAATATGAGTTGCGCAACAAAGCTCTTCAGATAACATCAAAAAATCGTAAAAAGTCATGAATGACACTGTGAAAGAAAGCAAGCTCGGAGAATAGACACAAAAAAAAAATGAAGAAGATGATGAAAAATAGTATTTTTCTTAATCGAAAAAGTAATGAATGAATATACAAGTTGTTATATATAATTACAAACTATTTTTTTTAACAACTAACTGACTTACAGTTATAACTAAATAACTGAAATCTATATGCTAAGATAATCTATTTTAAATAAATATATAAAGTATATCTATATGTTTCTTGAGTTGTATTGATTATGTGATGTCAGGAAGCCACGATCAAGAGCTTTGGCTGAGAAGAAACTGGAATCTGTTGCAAAGAAAAAGGATGATGAAGATGATGATATTGATAACTGGGAACTTCCAGATGTAGATATTCCGTATTTATGAAGTTCAAACTCAGACACAAAACAAACAGGCATAAAATGACTCTCTTCTAACTTCAATGACAAATCCCTCCGGCTGAGGTAATTTCTGTGTAGTATAATTATTACTTCGATTACATTCTTCAAGGAAAGAGGGAACGTTGCTTAATTATATTTTAACTGATTATGCAGGCCTTCCTTGTCTCTTTTTAATGTATGCGTAAATGCTGCTTATTGTAAAGCCATTTTTGAGTTTTTGTGGAGATTTTCTTCTACGTTAGCAATTCAAGGTTTCCTCTTGAAGATTAAATTTCACATTGATTTTTATTGGTTCTGCTAATTGTTCTGAACGTAAGGGGTAGATGCTATCAAAGGGGAATCTTCTTGTTTTATATCCATTCTTCAAGCTTCAAGGTAGCATCCACGTTCGTTGTTATGGTAGAAATTACTAGCAGATTGCATATTCTTCAGATACATTAAGGCGGTATACTAAACGGTCACTAAGAGGGTGGCACTACCTAGTGGTTACACCCTGAAAAATTATGAATAAACTCTTAAATCTTTTATTGCATATTTTGGCAACACATTAGTCCATGAACATGTAAAATTTTTACCTTGGTGTTAGTCATATTAGTTGTTAGACATTGGATATAAGGACTAATATAGTTAACATTTATCGATTTTAGGGATCTTGATAAAGTTTTTGCATTTTTAACAACAAATGTGGCTGTTACTAAATTTCATAAAATCGATGTTGAAAGTGTATTTGGCAACCAGAGTGTCTCCTCATTTGAGAGGAATCAAGGTGGTGAACCAAATGGGAAGAGAGGCAAGGAGCCAAAATGCAAAGAATGCAACTCCATATAATTTGATGATCAGAACTAGTGAGTGCATTTATAGAAGGGAGATGGGCATGGGCATGGGCATGGGCACGAGTCAATACTTTTTGTTCTAAATTTTAGGATAATCATTTATCAACCTCAATATTATAAATGAAAGTCTACAATTGAAACATTCACGAAGCTACTCTGTCTCTAGTAAATTTTAAGATTAAAATTGATTGAAAATTGTGTTAATTATGCTTTCTTTTATTAAATAATTTTACTTTTTATTCACATTTTTATTAATTTTGTTCAAAATTTTGAAGATTAATGTTATTTAATTTTTTATTTATCTTACATAATTTTTAAAATTTTTCATGAATATCTATTTTTATATTATCAAAATTATCTTAATTTTATTAAATATTTATTATTTTAATATATAATATTCATAGTTATATAGTTAAGTTAACAATTTTAAAAGAAAGTTATTGTTTAAAATAATTGTATCACTATATATATAATTATTATAAAAATATAAATTTTTGTTCTTTAATTATTAAATTATATATACATATATATATAGATATATATATATATATATATATATATTAATATAAAATATTTGTACATTGTAACAACTACTTAAATGGTTTTTTGAGAATGGACAGTATATATTGTCATTTATTAATTTCTATTTCTCTGTTTAAGAAAATGAGGACAATTTTGTCAAATGAATATTTTTATAAAATATTAGTTGGAGAACACAAGTTATATGCTCACTAAAGTGTAGTGTTTCTTTATTTCGTTTTTTTTTTCTCAGGAAAGTGTAGTGCTTCTGATAACGAAATTTAGCACTTGGTTTGATTAAATTTGAGCACAGGTCGTAGACAAGTCCAAGAAAGCTTTGCGGTCTTTATTAGCACAATAATAAAGCATTTGTCTTATTTTCAATACGACAGAAATTCTCTGGTAGGCTAGGTGCCTCCCATGACTAAGGTGAAGCATACCTAGAATATGTTTGATTTTCATTTTGAAAACAGTTTTTAGTTTTAAAAAATAAAATATAGTATATTTTCATGCTCCTAGTTTTTTTTTATAGCATTCATAATCGTGTAAAATTACGTTTTGTAGGGTTAAAATGGATCGATGTTTGAGGCTTGATATTCTGAAAGAGAAATTAACTGAAAAGAGAAATTAAATTGCAGAGTTAAAGAAGAAAACTTGGATGGTGTTTTATAGGTGCGATTTGTATAACTATTAATTAAAATTAATATTATTTTAGAAAAACAATTGTATTTAATGTTATTATAAATTATTAAGGTAAAACTCTAAAATTGATTAACAAATAATGCCAACATTTTCTAAGCAGTTGTACTTAAGTATTATCCTTCAGCAAAATTAAATGGATTTAATTAAATACATAAGAAATCTGGGTTTGGATTGTTGAATCTGGGAAATGGAGTTTTCAAATCTAGGAAATGCCTCGTGACTCAACTCGTAACTCGTTGCGTTGTTGAAGCCGTAGTCGATTGTGAAGGGGTTTTCCTTCTTCTTCTTGTTCTTCGTTTCAGCTGTGGTGACATTGTAGTTACCCATGACAGGGATCGTGAAAGGGTTTTGGTGTTCATGCATTTGCGGAAGAACTTCATATACTTCATCTTCTGTCTAATAGTAAGGCCATCAGAGATACAAATTCCCTAGCAACCATCCAAACGACCGAGCACGTGCTCTCATGCTTCCACCGTCACCCTCTTCACGCAGATCCCTGAACCGGACACCTTCATCGCGACACAACACAATGTCCTCCGCTCATTTTGGTACTGGTTGCTCCAATTTTATTACAAATTGTGAGAATTTTTTTTTTAAATATTGATTTTTAAACGATAAAATATTAAAAATAAAGATAAAATGAGTTAAATTTATTTTGAGTGCTTGTTACGGTGTTTATATATTTTAAAAAGAAATCTTATACTCTTTTTGAATTACGATAGTTCAAATATTTTAAAAATTAGAAGATATTTATATGTTTTTAAAATATATTATTAATTTATATTATTTATTATATATTTAATATAATATTAACAGATATTATTATTTTACATAAAAATATAATAAAATATTTTTTAATTTTTGAAGTATTATAGAAATTATTTTTCTTTTATCTAGCTCGTAGTTTAATAAAATTTTAGTTGACGATGAAAAATAATTTTTATATTTTTAAAATATTAAAGACTAAATCTTATTCTTATTATTGTTGCCGCTGCTGGTGAATTAATAAATAGCTGAATTTGAAGAGCTCCAAAGTTAAAAGTTAAATTGTAACTTGTGCTTCACGGTGTGTTAATGAAGTGCATTTGTTTGCATCCGTAGGAAAGGAAAAGCAAAAGCGAAGAAGCGATGGAAGGAGAAGAAGGGTCTCAGCAGCCGCAGTTGGTTCTCGCCGACAAGCTATTCCTTCTCCGACAACCCGATGTGCAAGACATCGATAAGGTTCGCTACAAGGACGATGTTTTCACTCACGTCAAGGACAACGGTAAATAACTCACTCTCTCTCTCCCCTCACCCCCTTTCCATTTTCCTTTTCTCACCACGTGTTTTCCCTACAGATATGCTCCCTTTGTACGAAACCCTAGTCGCCGACTCCGTTTTGGACATGGATCGTACCCTTTTCGACTCAATGCGTGCTAAAATTCACGATGAACTCAACAAACTTGACGAAAAGTGAGTTTCTCTCTCTTCCTCCCTTTACCTTCTATGCTTGCTTCAAACCATAATTTGGAATATCCGATTTGAAATTTAGTAGGTTAATTAACGAATCTAGACGAATCTGAAGGAAAGGTGAGTGGTGAAAACTTTTACCACCATTGGATATGTAATCCTTTTTCAACGTTTATTTTCCAATTAACCGACTATCTTATGTGAGATTTGCTTATTTAAATTATACCAATGTGTTTTGGTTTGTGCTATTTTTTTCTTATGCATCTTGCTGCTTGTTGTGATTGATGCTTCATCATTGTTATCACCTAGGTTGTGAACTGCACCTAGATAGATGGTACCTGCTAATTGCTGTATGATGCATTTAACTAACTAGAGTTGATCATTTGGGCACGTTGTTTGTATTGAATAATTATGGGACGAAATGGTAGACACGGAATTAAAAGAAGTAAGATGCTGAATGCCTGTCACTGAAGTGTGTTTGAAGTTGTGAATCCATGTTTCTCCTACCTAAGAATCTCTAGCATAGTAGCATTAAAATTTTCCCTTCTCTAGCAATGTGAGCGGAGTTGTGTTATTTTTTTTCCTCCCTTTTTTTGTTGAAGTAACCGATGCAAACACAGTTCCTATAGTGAATTCATTATGAAAGGTTGACTTTAATGGTACATTGTAAGGGGAAAAAGTATGTTATAATGTCTGTGGAATTATATGATTAGTATTTAAATTATGTATGTAGTGTTTTCAAATCAAAATAGCAGTCCTACCGGCAATGTTGGAATATGTTGTGTCTTGGCCAAACCTTGCTTATTGTAGATATTTTCGTTTTCGAGTTCATGTTGTAGACCACTAGACCTAGTGCTGCAAGTGGCTTATGGTCACCAATAGCAGCAAACCCCAACACATAATGGTGCATGGTGGATGACATGGAAACTACCATAGTTAAGAAAGGATAATAATTATTAATAAATGTAAAATTTATTACATATACATGTTGTGGATTTATAAATAATATTTTATATAATGATTCCTATGAGTTGAAATTGGTTAGTTTTTATGATAATACATGTGAATGCCTCTTTTTAGGATTGCTGATGCTGAGGAAAACTTAGGTGAGAGTGAAGTTCGTGAGGCTCACTTGGCAAAATCATTGTTTTTCATCCGGATTGGGGACAAGGTACATATAACTATTGCCCTTTACCTATCTGCTATTGTTATCCATTATTGATAACAGTCTTTCCTATGTACCAGGACAAAGCCTTGGAACATCTCAAGGTAACAGAAACCAAGACAGTTGCGGTTGGCCAGAAAATGGACCTAGTGTTTTATACATTACAGCTTGGTTTCTTTGACTTGGATTTTGATCTCATTTCCAAAAGCATTGACAAAGCTAAAAAGTAATATTTTGAATTACAAACTGTAGCTATGCCTTCTGTCATATTTTTTTGGTTAAGGATTGGTTTTCTAACTGTTTGCACCATGGTGACAGCTTGTTTGAAGAAGGTGGTGATTGGGAAAGGAAGAATAGGCTGAAAGTGTATGAAGGCCTGTACTGCATGGCCACTCGAAATTTCAAGAAGGCTGCCAAATTGTTTTTGGATTCTATTTCAACATTTACTACCTATGAACTTTTTCCCTATGACACCTTTATATTTTACACAGTTTTGACAAGCATTATATCATTGGATAGAGTTTCTTTAAAGCAAAAGGTATGTTGATTTTCTGTTTTGATCTTTACATTGCTTTTTTTTTATACAGTTGACTTATGTTTCTTGGCACGTGTTCTGCATATTGTAAATAATAAACTCTGCTAATTTGCATTAGGTAGTGGATGCTCCGGAGATCTTGACAGTGATTGGCAAAATCCCATATCTTTCTGAGTTTATGAACTCCTTATATGATTGTCAATACAAGTCTTTTTTCTCAGCATTTGGTGAGCAGGCATCTGCAAAATCTCAGTGCTTTTGCAGTGATTTCCTGAATTTTTACTCTTTGGTAGAGACAATTTATTGCAATAAGCTAATTTTTTGTTATATTTTGAGAATCTGTGGAAATCATCTAATGTAGAGCAGAGGCTTCTAGGTGCTTGCAGATATTTCATTCCTTTCTATTTGGTCCAATGTTCAGAGTTTTGTTTCATTTTGAAATTTATTTCAGCTGGCCTGACACAGCAAATTAAGTTGGACCGCTATCTGCATCCACATTTCAGATATTACATGAGGGAGGTCAGAACTGTTGTTTATTCCCAATTTTTGGAATCTTACAAGTGTGTGACAATTGAAGCCATGGCAAAAGCCTTTGGAGTGACAGTGGATTTCATTGATCTGTAAGTGAATGCATTTCACAAACCCAATTTTGGTTTAGTATTTGATCAGTTTTTAGATTCTATGGGAGGCAACTCATTATATTATTTGCTTCCAGGGAGTTATCACGTTTTATTGCAGCAGGGAAACTTCATTGTAAGATTGATAAAGTTGCAGGCGTACTAGAAACTAACCGCCCTGATGCTAAGAATGCACTTTATCAAGCAACTATTAAGCAAGGGGACTTCCTATTGAATCGGATCCAGAAATTGTCTCGTGTGATTGATCTCTAGGTCATTGCTTGTATTTTAAATATAAAGTTTATTGAATAGGCGGATGACAATTTCAAATTTCAAGGACATCTTTTGAATGCATTTTACTAGGGGGGCATGGGGCATGACATTTCTGTAGTATAATTGATTTTCAAATTATTGAAACAATCTAACTTGCTGAATATACGTATGTCAAATCAGTTTTCAATTACTTGTTACGATGAATATATTCGGGTGTTTGAATGTTTTGAGAATGTATGGGATATGACTGGCCGTCTTGGTATACAATAGTGTTTTATCATTGGGCTTGCCTATGAGGAGATTCCCTTCTACTTCACTCACTCATTTTCCCGAAGTCTTGCTAGGTTGAATTGGGACTTGTATTACCAGTGAGTCTGCGACGTTTACTCTTGAAAAGGTAAGGAGTTTTTGGGCACATAATTGCTTGGGTAAATTTCATTCATAAACAGAGGATCAACCTAATATATCAAATTTACCAAAATTTAAATAAACTGTCTAGGATGGGACGATATTGCCTACAATAATGCATAAAAACTTACATATATTATTTTACATCGCAATTTTTAAAGTAGGTCCTATTTTGCTATTATCTTAATCCATTCTAATTTTGTAATTGTTACTGATGTGTGTGCATTTATTCCAAAATAATGTAAAGAAAATATTATTTGATTGTTAAATCCTTGAAAATCCGAAGTAAATATTTCCAGGGTCAATCGTTGAACTGTAATCTAGAAGATTTGTCGAACTTGTACGAATTTTTTTTAGTAATATTATTTATTCCATATTCTTCTATTACACTTTCTAAATTGTGCACTAAACGCTTAAATAAAACAAAATATATATATAACATATAAATTGATGTAGTTATACGTTACAAAATTATAATAAAAGTACGATAAAAGGTAAGATATATAATCCAGTAAAAAAAATTATTAGTCAAAAACAAAGTGTTATAAAAATAAAATGAATTTATAATGCATATATTCACTCAATTAAATTTGGTGTATTGTATTTTTTTAAAATTATAATTAATTAAAAAATATATTTAATTTTTATATTTGACATGTTTATGAATTAGTCTTAATATTTAAAAGAAATTTAAATTAAAAAATTTATGTATTAATCTCTATATTTAAAACAATTAAAATTTTAGTCCCTATACAAGAATTTTATTATAATTTAATTACTCTTATCATTAATGTTGTTATAACAGCATATATATATATATATATATATATATATATATATATATATATATATATAAAGAGAAACTTATGTAAAGTAAAGAAATAAATACGACTAATTCATTATGTCAGGAACACATGGTATTTTTTTTGTTAAAAAAAGAAAATACTATGTTTTATTTAAACTCATTAAATGTTTGTTAAAACAGTATCAACTATATTGTATTTAATCGTATTAAATGTTTATTAATTTGAAAAAATATAATTGAACTTAAAATAAGCCGTAAATCATCATCAATGCAAAGTTAAAAGAAGGGAAGGAAAAACACAAGATCGAACCAAACTTGATTTGTGGTGCCGGAAAAACATAAAAAAAAGAGAGAAGAAACTACTGTAACAAAAATAACGAGATGTGTGAAGAACGTGTTCCATAAAACATGTGACAACGGGGAGTTATCCATCCAAAACCGCAGAGGGAAACGTTGCTAGCGACCTTTCACCTTATTTATTTATTCCTTTTGTGTGTATTTCTTGAGCATCACAAAACCCATCCTCACAAGCAAAGTACAGATGAAAGAAGGGCTATTCCCAGTTTATGATACTCACCACACACTGAGTCACTCACAATCACATTAATACACTAACACTACACATTACTTATGAGGGCTGAGGCATAACATAACAATACGATGTTGCCTCCTATTGATTTTAACAGTTTAAAAGATAAGCTCTCGGTTCAGTTGCGTCCATGGCAACGCTCCTTTGGCTTCTGGGTTCGAGCCATCGATATATATAGCGGATACAAGGTTTTTCTCTTTCACTATGCCATTGCTATCTATATTCATTCGTTCGTTAATCGTATGCATGTTTCTTATTGTTTTGGCTTCGCTTTCAATTTACCTTCGCAGGTGTTTCAACTAAGAGTGAATTTCGAGAAAGATGTGCAGAAGAGGGAAGCAATGTGGGAAAGGCAGCACGAGCTTGCTGCCGATAAGATTTATGCCATGTGCTTCGACCTTGGAGGTTTCTTCCTCAAGGTATTCCATCGTTTTTTAATTTATCTCTCTTTAATTTCAATTTTGATCGTTAATTTTTTTTTCAATTGGGAGACTTCATTGTTTTTGTTTGTTCTTGAGGAAATTGTGGACAGTGGTTTTGAATGTTTGGAGGATTTTTATGACTTGGCATTTTTGTTTGTTTGTTTTTTCTTCTTCCTTTCCCTGCAGCGCATGTATGATTTTTGTATTCCCTTGTGATTATTTTCATGATGCTATGTATTTGATGTGGCGTAAAATGTTAAACAGATCGCCCAGATTATTGGGAAGCCTGATTTGGCGCCAGCTGCATGGGTGAGAAGGCTTATTACGCTATGTGATAGGGCTCCTGCAACCCCATTTCATATTGTGAAACAAGTGTTGGAGAATGAGCTTGGGCTGGGGATTGATGATGTATTTGAGACGTTTGATGTGGAACCCCTTGGCTCGGCTTCAATTGCTCAGGTTCATGTGAAGCTTCTTATCTGCTATCTTATCACTGCCCTGCGTAATTGTCATCATTTGAATTGCAGTAGTATTCTTTTTCCTTCAAGACAAGTGTTTATGCATGTTTACAATGATTCATTAGGACACTATTTGTGGATAACAATTTAAGTTTCCATCTGTGCCTGGATCCTGAGGGGGATAAGCTGCTGGTCTCTGGAGGGTGAGAATGCCTAGCAGCAGCTACACATGGTTTTTTGGGGTACTTTTAAGGGTACTCCAATACCCAAGTTAGTGAGTATCTGCTTACTAGTTTGGCTTAAAGGAGAAACGTACCTGAAAATAAATGTGCTCGCTGCTATTTATTAAGGGCAGAGGTGGACTGTGTCTGTGGACACCTTTGGGGAAACATGATACCTTCGGGAAAGGGGGTATGCAGGCAGTGTGCACCTGCCCATGCTTTGCAATGATTTGGGTGAGATTTCCTGTTACTGTATGAGAATATAAGGCATGTCCGTTCTTTTATGGGAAAATATTATAGATAGGATTCCTTGCTGTTTAGCTGATTGCTTGTCTTGGGTGATGATTGATCAGTTGAGAGGGTACCAAGTTTACCCAGTGCTCTTCGTGAAAGTCAGGTAGATCAGCCATAGGGCTGACATGATGGTAAGGTGGAAATGGCTTTGGCTTTATTTGAGCTGCTAGATTGGTAAAATATGCGCAGCAAATTGCTTGGTTAAGGTAATCAAAGAATCTCCTTGAGGTGTGGTGTGTATCTCGGTCAGATACAGTCCACTATCATGTAATCATTGACGCAGTTGCATGTGCATATGCAACTATTCTTAGATTGTTCTTCTATATTGTAGTTGTAATTAAGTGCAGTGCAGTTATTGTCATGGTCTAGTCCCTTAGATTTTGTTTTAGGGCCTTGAACAGTAAAGTATGGCTGTAAATCACTGGATTTCTGACTTCTTCCTCTGTGTCTTATTTTTGTTAGCATGTTTGGTCTCATTAGTGAGAACCCAGTGATCTCCAACTGTAAAAGTACTAAAGAACTTTTCTGAAAATTCCTGTGTAACACTTTATTTCTTACTGCAACCTAGGGACATGCTTACCAAAATAACTGTTCTAAACTCTATCCTAAGAAATAGCAGTTATAGAAAACAGTCCAGAAAAAGTACAAACTAGTTAATATGCTTACAAAAATAACTACTCTAAACTGTTCCTCCTATGAAATAGCAGTCATAGAGTTATTCAAAAACAACTTTACTGCAAGTGCATAATTTATGTTAATCAAGGGTGACTTATGGGTTATGTTTGAGAAATTGAACAACTGTGGCCCCATGTGCTTTTTTTAAACTAATTCTTCTCTTCTTTTTATTATTTAAATTTCTTTCATTATGTCCATGCAATTCAATCTTATTGGTGACAGAATAATTTTGAAGTGTTAAAACTTAACACCTCTTATGAATTGTAGTATTTTAAACACTAAAAAGTTTTACACTGCTTCTCATATTCGTGTTCATATCACATATAAGTCCTCAGAAGGGTGATTTGTCAGTAACCAGAAGTATATTTTGCAACGGTCAAATTCTTATTCAGATTTAGTACCATGTAACTGACATATATCTGGTGCTCATATTAGGTTCATAGAGCAAGACTGAAAGGTGATAAAAGTGATGTTGTTGTCAAGGTACATAAATAAAGCCTTATTGATTAGTGACACCAGTAAACTTTTGGTTCTGATTTCTTTTGCATATAATAGGTTCAACATCCTGGAGTCCAGGATCTGATGATGACGGATATCCACAACTTGCAAGCTTTTGCATTGTACATGCAGAAGACAGATATCAAATTTGATCTATATTCAGTGACTAAGGAAATGGAAAAACAGGTGGACTATACATCTTAATTTTATCATTTTATGCTTATTCTTTGGTTCCCACCTGTTGTCTTCCTCTGTTTTGTGAACTTGTTGATTAGTAGCATCCTAATGAAAGAAGAAACACATTGCAGGATTTGTCTTTCAATTATAGAATAATATAGAAGTTCCTATTAAGAATAAGGTGTACTTTGTACCGTCATTATGTGTAATGTGTATGAATGATGACTTTTGGAATTTGGATGCAATTTATGCTAGAAACATGCTACATGTTAAAAGGAATATTAAATCAAGTAGTAAGGAAGTTCTGAACGTATTTGACCTGTACTTTGTTTTCTTTGCTTTTGAATGAGTTACATTAAAAAGTTTTTTGTCCAAAGACAAGATGTTGTCACTCTGACAGAGGTATCTTGGAGCATTTTGTGATTAAATCTTGACGGAATCTTTATGGTTGACACTTTACTGCTGGAGTGAATGTTCATATATATTGACTATCATCCAATTTTTCTTTCCTAAATTGTGTTACTAACTAGGTTTTTGGAGGACAATAGAAATTTACGCTTTAGCAGGTTTTCCTTTGTTTTTTCTCTGTAATATTTGTATAGAGGCAGCTTATTACTTCTCTAGAGAAATCTGAGCAAGGATTTCTTTGATTAGCTTGTAAATTATGTTTAGACTAATAGACTAAGAGTGCTTTATCTATGAATGACACAGGTTTTATGCCTGAGAAAACAAAACTGGCTAGCCCCTTGCTACCTTTTAGTTGATTGCCTTAAAAATTTGTATATATCATTTACTTTCTTTTCTATGCTTATAGCTTTATCGTCATGTTAATATTGAGGTTCTTCCTGCAGTCTACCATGAATAGTTCTGAACATCTACTTGATGATTTGTGACATTTCAGATTGGGTATGAATTTGACTTCATGAGGGAGGCGGATGCAATGGAAAGAATTAGAAAATTCTTGTATGAAAATAACAAAAGGACTCCTGTTATGGTGCCACGAGTAATGCGTGATATGGTTAGTAGGTACGTTTTCAAGTCCAGTATCATAAAAATCTGGATAAGAATATTAGTAATGGACTTGAATGCTTAACTACTATATTATTTTCAGAGAGGAGTGCTAGACTTTTATTCACTGGACTTGGAGTGTATGGCTGTTTTACAAATGGTTGATATTTTCTTGAACATAGATTTTGTCTCCCAAGTCCAAAATTACATGTTAAATGCAAGTTGGTGCTAACTTTACTAATTTCTTTATGTGATCACATGAGGGTTTTTTTTTCAACTAGTTCTGCTAATTGGACAATCTAGGTGATATTTTGGTTTTGGACAAAATATTAAAAGTAAATTAATTGAAAAACTTGAATGATAGTGCACTGTTAAGTTTTTACATTAATCAGGATACAATTCTATGCCGTGAATCAAGCATGTCACCAACCATGATATGTAAAGACCCTTTATAGATTAAAACAAGGTTGAACTAAAAACAAAAAGAAAAAATATCCCCTACGGAAAAACATTTTTGCTATGTTATATGTTCAATCTTGGTCAAATAGCAGAGAAGGATACAGTATTTTTTTATATATATTTGCCTGGTTAAGCTTTTATTCAGATGTATTAGTTTACACATTTCATTTTTTTTTTAAGTAATGACGTGCTTCTTGGATTGTACAGAAGGGTCCTAGTTATGGAATATATTGATGGGATTCCAATAATGAAACTTGGTGATGAAATAGCAAAGAGAGGCATAAATCCTTGGGGTAAGATTGCAACAGCGGCCAAGCAGTAAGCTCCTGAGCTATATATCCTAAAAGTAGTCCTCTAAACCACACTTTTGTTGTAGTTAATAACTTATACATGACCTAAATTCTGATGTATGAAACTTATGAAATTTTCTTTTCGCTTTCTGGTCTGTTTTGAATCATTGAGATAAACTCATTGATTCATTGGTGTCTTTCTTACATAGAAAAATAAATTAACAAGAAGGAAATTAAAACTAGGGGGAAGCATAGGAGATCCTCCAAAAGATAAGGAAAGCATAAACTGAATACCATTAAGAATGCAGCAAGGTGGTAGTCGCACTTAATTTCAGAATGGCCACTCCTTGAATAAACCATGAGAAAGACTGTCATGCCATAAACCTAAACATATTCATAGTGAGTTGCAGAGAACAAGATGCCCTTCAAGATGTGAGCATTCAGCTTCAACCAAATGCACCAAAGAATTGTGTAAATCTAACATGGCCACTAAAGTTCAGTTTGCATGTTTGAACTGTAAATTAACAAATTGTAAGACTAGGACAGATTTGATAAATCTTGGCACAATTGTAAGACTAGGACAGATTTGATAAATCTTGGCACTAATTCAACTATGAACAGAGTTGGTTGATGTCCTGAATTTTTTGGGGGCATGTCCATAAATTTCACAATCAGATAACAGAGGGGGTGGTTAAGTTTTAATAACAGTAACACAAACCTTTTCCCAAATGATTTACATAGATGATTTTTCATACTTATGTATGTAGGTTTAGGTGTACTACACGATTAACTTTCTTATAAAAGTGCAGGAAAATTCTTCAAAGCTTGACTCTAGCATATGGTCAAATGATTTTGAAGAGTGGATTCTTCCATGCTGATCCTCATCCAGGAAATATTCTGATTTGTAAAGGATCAGAGGCAAGTCGTTAGCTATATTTCTTTCCCTTTTCTGATATCCCTTGAAGTGTTATTTCATCTTTCTACGGTTGGGTGTGGCACTCTTATTGTGACCATGTTTTAATCAAGAGTAATTACATATGGAAATGACTTTGGGGTAGAATTTTGAAAAGTAGTTTTAGATCTTGATGCCTAAAATATGTTTTTAAAATAAAAACTTTTTAACCACCCTATGACCCTAATGTTAGTGACTTCCCTCAAGTCAGGTTGCCTTGCTAGACTATGGGCAAGTAAAGGATCTCCCAGAACAGTTGAGACTTGGTTATGCTAATCTAGTTCTTGCGATTGCTGATGGTGATCCATTAAGAGCTGCAGAGAGCTATAGGTACTGAAATTTGCATTTAAAGTCTTATCTATTTCATGCTTCTTCTCTGGTTTGTTTAAAATAAGAACAAATTTAGTTAGGCTAATACAGAGTTACAAACTTTACCAGAAATGCTACTGGGAATAATTGATGTAGAATATATTGACTTAGGTTACAAACAGATTTGAGAAAGACAGATAAGACTAGCGAGGAGAAAAAATAAATTAAGGGGGTCTTGGAAAAATGAATAATCTAAATTACTTAATTCTTCATTAGTTACATAAGATTTGATGGCTTTCTAAATTTCTCTCTACTAAGACGAAACTGAGAAAGTATGGGTGTATTCACCCTTGATTTGATTTAAAGTATCTCAAAAAAAATTTGACTCGCTTTAAATCAAGGGTGGATGCTTCCATACATTTTTACTTTAAAGTGGTCAAATCCAAGAAACCATGACTTGAATCTCAATTTGTCTTGACAAAATTGAAGGTTCAAACCCTGAGTTGATATTAATCCTGATTGGGTCATACTGTATAGTAACATTTATCACAAAATTTAATGCCCATAAAATATGCCTTGGTATCCTTTTCTGAAGTTTATTTTTCCTTAATTTATCTGTCACTACTGATATTAATGTTTCCCCATAATGGTTTACTGCTATATCAATATGGAACATGCGAAATGTGGACTTTATTGAGGAAAGTTGACTTTTTAGCTTCATAATTTTGAATTCAAAAAAATGTAATCAGTGGCTATGTTCAAATTAAATTATCTAAGTAGTTTTACTCTTATTAGGGAGCTTGGTATAGAAACCTTGAGCAAATGTGAAAATGAGCAGCAGGAATTGTTTAGATTAGCGTATACAATGTTTGATACAAAATTGCCTCCTGGGGTGGAAATGCTGCAACCTTTCTCAGAGGAATCTTCAATAAAAAAGATTGCTGTTCAGGTGTGTTCTAGAATCCAATTTTCCATTTGTTCCTGGAGATCATACATACCTGATGTGATATGGATATCTACCGGTCAAATTGCTACTTAGTCTATATTTCGTTAAAGTATTTTATATTAATCAGGGGACATATCAGTGTCATTTTGTTTTACATTAAAGTTAGAGATTGACTGATTGAGAAGATCTCAGTTGTTTGTTTTAGATAAAAAAATGGTTAAAGTAATTTGTAGGTCCCTAAACTATTTGAAGAGTTTTAAATAATCCCCTATAATCTGAAGGTTTGTTTAGGTTCCAAAACTTTTTAATCATATTCAAATTGGGTCTTTCCATTAGGGTACTGCTTGAGTTTCATTTAGTATAAGGATCTAATTGAATATTTTCAAATACTTAAGAGATCAGGTCACTGATTTAATTATTCAGAAGTCTCTGAACTAATATAAAAATTTGAATTAGGTTCCTATTCTTAAAGGAACCCAAACAGAAATGTTATTAAAGACCCAACTAAAAATTATTTAGAAGTTCAAGGACTTCCAAGATTTTAAAGTAGCGAAACTTATTTAAATTTTTCAAATAGTTTAGGGACTTGCATAATAATTTAACCTAAAAAAATGGTTAATCTAGGGTGGCTAATTCCATAACCTCCGACAAATGTCCAAAAAGTGCAATATCATATTCTGATTTTTATTTTCACGAGTCTTCGTTCTGAATGTGATACTTTAATGTTACAGTAAAAAATGAAAAAAAAAATTTGGTCTCTTTTCTACGTCCACGATTAGTGGCACACCTCTTTTTTATGACTCGTTCTGATAGATGAAAATATGTTGACACTGAATAATTAAGCCACTATTGATCCATGCCAAGTTAATAATATTTATAGTGGCGAAACAAGCAGGAAATAACTTGTATTTTATGTTGCTACTTTTTTTTCACTAAATTTTCTATTCTTGCTGCCCGGTTATGGTAGTCTTTTCCAGAAGAACTGTTTTCTGTACTTCGGACTGTGCATCTGTTGAGGGGACTTAGCGTTGGACTTGGAATCAATTATTCTTGTGCAGAACAGTGGAGACCCATAGCAGAAGAAGCTCTGTCTCGAGCTGGCAGATTTAAAGGTAGCGCTCTGACTCTTGCTTAAGACTGACATTTGAAAATATATAGCAATAAATTTACGATTGATTTAATTTATTAATTGTTATAATCTCTACTTGCATTTCAAAACGGCATGCCTTAAAATGGTTTCTAGTGTTTTCATTCATTGATTGGTTTTGATATTTCATATTATGACATCTATCCATCCTTCTAAGCCAGCGATTCTGACTTTACTTGATAATTTCACAGATAAGGATGTTAAACGCAGAGGTAGCAAATGCTGTTTAGCAAAATTATTATTTTGGAGAAACTGATTAGGATCAATCTAGTTTGTCGATTAACTTATCAATTCTTTGTGCACGTGGAAAGAAAGGTAAATTCAAATTAACTGTTGAATATGGTTTATAAGTTTGACATTGATGGCAATCACAAAAAGATTTTTGGTGCCTCTACGAGTATTTATTTATTTATTTTGAAATGTTTTGGGATTGTACATGTTTTTCAGACGAGTAATTCCGCTACCATTAGTTGAAATTTTGGGAAAATGTTTCATGACAGTACGCAGTCTAACGTATATTTGATTACTTTATTACGATACCCTATTCAAATGGGCCACGTGATGATCTTTTCACAGTATATGTGTAGACGTGTGTTTCATACGAAGCCAAATAATACAGTGGTAGTAGTATGGCAACACTCTGAAGGGGAAATTTCGTGTACCCTTGAGTACTGACGGAGCTTTTATAAGGCGCTCCTATGTAAGAAATTAAGAGGTAATCCTACACTTTTATCCAAGCATCTAGTTACGGAGAACTGATTTTGAATGGTTCAAAATTTGGACATAGCATGCTACAGTCATTAATAGAAAATACCGTCACAAGATTAAAAAGGTCTGCGACACTAAAAAAATCATTTGATTTCATCGCTAAACCATGACCACGGCCTTGGAATCTAACTCCAAGGCCACTTTCCTGTATATAATTTAGATTATATATTAAAAAATTGAGTTTAACTTCCTCTCTAGCTCGTAGAAGGAAGATTATACAACTCTCATATTTAGCTTTTCAAAGGATGATAATCCAAGCTTTATAAGAAGTATTTTGCCTCTATATTTAGATGATGTGAAACATTTATTGTATATCTGTAAACTGAATATTTAAGAGTGATAAGTTTGTAGGATTAAATATCTACGGATAATTTGACACAATTTGATTTATGAGTATCCTAACATTCAAATTGAGACTTAAAAAAATTAGGGTTATTCAAGCGTTAAACATTTTAATAAATTACAACGTAGTTTTAATCCTTCTTAATTTACTATTTGTATTTGTGTATAAAAAGTATAGACAGTTAGAGTTTTGTGTATAACTTTGACCCAAAGACCAAGTTTCTAGCTTAACATTCAACAGGACAGTCCACACTAAACAGCTTTATAGCATGATTATAGTTTGCAGCTGTACATTCTAAAATCTCAACCTTAAGTGTACAAACTATTGTTATTAAAGACCAGTTTAATCTAGTTGTCCCAACCGTTTTTACTTATGAACCGGTGTAAATCGAGTAGAACAGATACAAACCAACTGGACGGGATTAGAACCAAGGTCCAGATGGAAGAAGGCCATCACTACTCCACTACTTATTATTAGTATAATAATATCTATATATTATAATTTTTTTAATTAACTAGTTGAATCAATATCTTGATCAAGTTATTAACTGGTCCAAATTCAATAATTCTGATGCTAACCGAGTTTAATTTATAAATAACATGATTAGCAAAAAAGAAGTGCAAAAAGTAATCCTTTAATTATCAACCTAAAATATGGGCTTCGGCCCGGCCCGGCCCAAAAAATTGTTTACATGGTGATCGAGATTTTTTGAAAAAACAAAATGAAGGTTGGCAAAAAAAAAAAAGTACAAAATTAAAATTCTTAAAAAACGAAAAACTGAAAAATACTGAAACGAAGTGTGTGGAAGACGACTCCCGCTTTAATTCTGTAATTCAATCCGAAGAGGCGCCAACAACAAAATTCGCTTCTTTCTCTCTCACTCTCTCTCTCTCTCTCTCTCTCTATATATCTGCCTCTCACTCTCTGCGGTTGACCCGACCCGGACCTAACCGAACAGAACCGGAGTAAGGAGCGGTTATCAGGAATGTTCGGCAGAGTCAGGGCTTCGACTTCATCACTGGACAGCTTAGAGGGTTCTCCATCCAAGATTATCAAAGATGACACTTTCTCCATCTACGGTACTCTCTCTCTCTTTCTTTGTTCGTTCTTTTTTTAATTCACTTAAAGAGATAAAGTTGAGGATCTGAAATTTCAATAGGAAAGAAAATCCAGTTAAGAACCAAAAATAAAATAAAATAAAATTCACATCCATGTTTAATTTCTGGAAGTTCAGATCCATTATGAAAGACAATCACCGGTTTGTGCACTCTCCGCAAACCTCTTAGGAAGCACGGTGTTTGTGTGAATTGCATAACTTGATAAAACTCTTATCAAGTTATCTTCGTTTTGATTCAGAGGCTACTCTCATGAAGCTAAAGCTTGGTGCTCAACGTGATGCAATCGCATGTTCATCCTCCATGGAAATGGACCAAGATATAAATGATTGTTCAGTTCGTTTACCGTGCACTGAGGAAACAAATCTGAAGGCACGATTTACTCCTTCAAGTTTGGAGCTTGTGGTAATTTCACCCGGTCAGGGAATAACGACGATGGACACAGATGGGTCTTTGCCTAGTGTTAGTGATCATGTTTCTACTGGGAACTCGGAACAGCGAAAGCAGAGTGACGTTTCTATTCTTCATTTCTTTAAAATTAAAGATCATGGACATGACACTGTATCAACCTCCGGAGAGGCAACAACATCAACGGGGAATGGTAGTTCTGAATCTGTTTCATTAATTTCTGCTGAATATCGTTGCACAAGTGAAGTGGAAGGTATTCAAGCCTTGCAAGTTTGTGAATTGTCAGATTGAAGATGAGTTTATGACCTGGATAAAAGGAGATGAACAATTCAACCCAGGTTGTATGAATATATATCTTCCACTACTATCAACCAAATTGAACTATTTTTCGATGTGTTGTATTGTATTTGTATCTCTTTCTGAGATTACTCCAACGCCATGGCATGGAATGTGGACCATCGATTGCATCAGATTATCTCTTTCTGGGATTACTTCAATACCATAGTGTGGAATGTGGACCATATATTGTTTCTAATACATCAGATGATCTAGGTTTAATAATGAATTTGGAAAATTAATCAATCTTCCTTGCTGTTTTGCTCATCAATCTTGTTTACTGTATTGTTTTAGCTGTATTTATAAATGCAGTTTTGTAGTGTATGGCTGAGTTTTCTTTAATTGCAACTCTTGGTTGATAGTGCCTGTTGCAGTGGCACTTTAGGTAACACAGCATGCCCAACTCATATCCGATGTGACAAAAAGAAAATGGTATGGACTTGAATCTAAGTCGAGCAAAATTTTACAAAAATTCGAGAAGTGCTTAAACTGGGAAGTTAATGTAGAACTACATTGGCCACTGAAAACATTTGATCAGGTTATTGAGCTTGGAAGCTGCATGTATCGTTGTAATTATGCATTTGTGATTTATTATTCCCTCAGCCATGGTGCTTGGACAGGAGTCCATTCGCATAATTCGCCTTCCTTGAACCACAGAGCTGCCACAAGTAGAAATAACGAGTTAATAAAGAATCACATTATTATGGTTAACATTTACATTGAAGCACATTATTATTTTTCATAAAATATATGCCCAATTCAATTGTTCCATTGACTATCTTCCCACACAATATTAGTTGGTTTGCAAGACATTTTCGAAAGATTAGGAATATAATTTTATATAAGATTACAACATCAATAACGTATGCAAGATAATTTAAGGCAGCTATTGTGAGTTATTGATAAACTTGATGATAGAAGTTCAGAACAAGGGTTAGATCATAACCAAATAACGTGTTTTCAGCATATAATACAACTGCCCCTAGTCTATTTAGACTAAAAATTGGATATATATCTCAAGCTAACTCAATCTGTTACAAGTTTATGATTATAAAACACAAATGAGTCAAATTGCATGTGCACTCTTTGGTAAACTCATTGAAGTAAACTGTAACATAATCATTAAACTCTTGATTCTAGAAGCAAGTTTACATGCTGTAATTTATTCAAGACTGTCCTCAAGACTTGGATACTTCGTTGGCTTGAATTGCCTATGTTGTGCAACATATATTAGCTTTATATTGCTACTTTGGAGTTCTCACTGTTATATTTGTTCTGTTTTGTCCAACTACAGAATATACAAGTGCTGGGCTAAGTATATAAATAACGGTAAGGCCAGGTCAACTATTGAATTATCTGTAATTTATTTAGTTATTAATGCTTTTGTATGCTTTTGTATGTGCACTGAGGTTATCTTCCAACCATTAGTTAGAGATCAATTCCTTCACCACATGGTGATCATGAAATTGAGTTTTACCTCCTCCAGCAAAGGATTTTCTATGCTCAAGGGACCTGCATTGCTTTATTAAGGAGTTGGAATGTTGAATATTAATTAGGATATGTTATTAAATTATGTTTGGGTACTAGGATATTTTTTCAAATGGTAATTTTGATGAAAGACTTTGCAAGTCAAGTTTTGAATTTGAGTTTACCAGGGTTTTAGTACGGTACCAAAATTCTCAAGTTTAACAACCTAGTAGTAGGAGGATAATACCACACGAACACTCCTACAATCACTACTCTAAAAGCCATTGCTAATTGAAATAAACTTCTATTTTTTTTATTTTATCATATGAAGTCTGTAATGAAGTCCTTTTGCCAGTCAAACAGTTGCAATTAAACGTCATTTGAGGCTAGCAAAGTCATTTCCAAAAGTGGGTCTATTCAATCAAATTTTCTTGGAATTCAAACTTACCCCCAAAGCAAAATATAGGCAGAAGCTAAAACCCAATGAATAAATTTTAAAATTCAGGCTATATTTTGTAACCCGAACACTTCTGCGACCTTCAAATTTTTGCATGTATTGGGGTTAAGCCGGATACTGGAAAATGTAAGAGGCTTACATATTTCACGCTTGCCATTCTCAGGGCTGTCACTGCCATGAACAATATTCCTGCCAAGTTCATTAGAAAATATAGTCACTCCTGAATCTTGATACTCAATGAGAAATACAGATTCTCTGCAGCCTACATTAATGCTTGACTGACTGAAGGCACTCAAAAGTCAAAGTCAGATGCAAAGATGCAAAAGCATAAAAGGCCTTACCTTCCTGTTTGAACAGCAAGGTCTCCTCTTATTGTGCCTGGTTCAGCTTGAAGAGGATCTGTAACCCCTATAAGCTTACGTGCTGATGCCACTACTCCAACACCCTCCCAAGCCTTGCAAACACAGCATCACATCCAGAAAAAACATTCAGCAGGTACATATTGTAAAAATGTGGGTGAAAATGAGATTTTACTGGAGAGAGATGTACCATACACACAACAGGACCTGAAGTAATATAGTCAATCAACTTGGGGAAAAATGACTTTTGTTTTAAGTCCTTGTAATGCTCCTGGAATTAACAGTCACTCACAATTAGCCTTATATTTGTAAATAGCGCATTCAAAGTTGATGATAACACAAACATCATAGACAGAATCAACATTACTCCAAACATAAGATCCATGTCCATGTCATATGGTATAGTAATCAATCATGAAAACATGGATACAATGATAGTTTGTAATTTGATGGTTGGCCGGGGCAGGTCCAGAAAATGTTTGAGGAAGGGGCCAAAAGTAAATAAATATTGACTTAGAAAGCATAGATCACAAATATGAAATGAAATTGATACGGAGATAAGACAAGTTTTCAAAATTATAGGACACATGACGAGTCACTAACTCATCTAGAAAATTAAAAGTTTTTAGGATATTTCATTGAATTTAAATTATAAGTTAATGCAATTAATTGAAAATTTCAATGGAATGTTATAATTGCTGAAAAATTGATAGATCATTCATATTTTGATGCTAGCATTTAAATTTTGAAGGGATTTAAAAGAAATTGACAATTGGACTAAAGAGCAGAAATTGAGTGCTGCAGAACACAGTTATGGGGACACGGATTTCTGATTGTGGGGACACGATGCTGACAGAGCATGTAAAAGCAGAAAATTTAAAAAATGTGGCATCTTTTATCTTTCATTTTTATTACATTCTGGAAGCGCAGAAATTTAGGTTTTGGTACATTTTACATATAAATGGTAGCTAGGATAGTTTTCTTATATGCTTTCTAGAGGATTCTTATGGAAACTGGCATTCCACTCCCTTTCTCTCTGGTTTTATGTAATGGAACAGTAGCTTCTCTCATTTTCACCTTTCTACTGGAAGCTCTTCTATGAACATGATTTCTTTTTCAGCAATATATTTTAATTTCAGTTTGTTTACTTTCATTATATCTAACTAAATATCTTGAGGTTTACTGAGGATGAATTTATACTTTCCTTTGCAATGAACTAAACATTGAATAGCTCAAGATACAATCTTTAATCTAACATCTTGATTCTGAACTTAATGCTTTTCTGTTCTACGTGAATGGAGTTAATGAAAAGGAGTTTATTGTTGGAAAATAATGAGCTTTCTTGGACTGGGATTAATTTGCTTATTATAAATTATATAGAAATAGAAATTTGTGATGATGTGGTCAATGAGTTTAAATGTTAATATTGAATGTTTTTAGTTTTATCTAAGGAATTAGGGAGTTAATTTCGTTTTAGAACTAATTAACCAAAGAATTAGGATTAGGTATTTTAGAAAATCTGACTATTAGATGAAACTGTATTTTGAATTATACATATATTTTTATGCAGAGAGAAAAAGATAAGAGATTCCGAGCTCACCCTACTTTTTAATTGTTTTCAAACCCAATCTCAGTAATTACAACATTTATATTCTACAGTTAATTTGATTTTTGTTCCCAATTTTAGTTTCTCATTATGCGTATTTATATAATTCAATTCCAACACCTTAAATTCCGTTTTTACAATTCTACACTTAGTTAAATTTAGTTTTGTTTATACTCTATTTTTGGTGACCCAACTAGTGTCATTCTTATGATTTGGTATTTAGCATTAATCCCTGTGAACGATAATCTTTTTTGCCACTTCAACGATTTAGTGCACTTGCCAAAAAGTTTATCAACACAACACAACACAACTATAATTTAACATACCCAAATCTACAACAAAACATGAGAGAATCGTATTTAAAAAATAAGCAAGAGTCATTATAAACATAATAAAATGCTACAATTATCTAATTATTGTAGTGTTAAAATGCATATAGGTACAAGAGTTAAAAAATCGAAGCAAAATTATAATAATGAGGGGGAAATATTTGAACCATCCATGTAATATCCTACATGAATACATATCCAACTCACACAACACAATATGATTATTATTTATAAGTATCCATACTTTTTTAACCTTTATGTACATAATTGTAATAATGATTATAATACCAAAAAAAATTCTTGGAAAAAAATTAAAATCTATTTGATGAGGTAGGTGTTGAGGCCCGCCCTCACCCTTTCCTACATTTGTCCTTAATGGTTGAAGTCACTTACTCAAGCACTCCATATTCTTAAATTTCATGCAACTACAATAAAATCAAATAGTATACATTAAGAATAATTAAATGAGATTTTATTTTATTTTTTGTATATTTTCTATTTGGAATATATACACAATAATTCCGGCATACCTTCTAGATGATATCAGTCCTATTTGTTTTAAAGTTAGGAAAACAATCATTGCACTTTCGAATGAAAATATGTGATTTAGATAAGTTTAGGCATACATTTCAATCACATTCAATGGATCACATATCAATCTTACACAAATTTAAACCAAACGGGCACATAGTTGTTAGAACATATCATAACATCTTCACTGTATCATTAATAACTTAAAAGATCTTCGTAATATATTATAGATTCTTATTGAGGAAACAATGTTCCATTGTTTAGGGAAAAATAGTCCTCTTCTTGTACTATTAGTATAAATAGGACCACTGGTTTAGTATTTTGTATCCAATCATCACACATCATATCAATTTAATAGGTTATTATTAGGAGGCTTCTTTACCTTTTTCCTCTTGCCCTACCTAACTAAACCCCATAATGAGGCCATAGTATCCACCTTGAAGAGTGTTTTTTGTCTCAAATTTATGGAACTAAATAAATTGTCATTTTCCCCTACCATACCCAAAGTATTTTTTGTCATATCTTTTCACTCCATTCCAGATACATTTCAAACTGTAGAACTCTGTTTCAGCACCACCCCCCGAACCACAGGTTGACTTCATTCTGGCCTGTCTTGCCGCATATTGGCTTCATTTCAATTTTTCCTTTCATAGGTTGGCTATCCCATTACGCACCTTCACAACAGCACCTCTCCCATTGCGCACCCTTACAACAGCATCACCAATTATTTTTGCGTTCATAACAAGATAAAGCTTATAGAGGGAATGTTAGAACATTTCAATGTATCTCCTGTGTATCTTGAAATATCTTAGAAGATCTTCATAATAAATTGTGGAATCAATGGGTTTTCTAATGAGGAAGCAATCTTCTCACTGTATTTCCTTATTTAATTAGGGTCGATAGTCTTATTTATTGTATAATTAATAAATAAGATCATTTAGTTAATGTTTTGTATCATACAATTATTGCCCACTCCTAATCAATTTGATAGAATATTCTCTATTTTCCTCCTTCCCGACCTAAACTCCACAATCTCAGAACAATAAGAAAAACCATTGCACGTAACACATGACATACATTGTAACAATCAAGCATTGCAGTGAGTACAAACCTCAGCTAACTCTTTAGAGCACTGGAAGAGCTTCAAGCCAGTTAACTTAAACCCCTTCTTCTCAAACCTAGAAATAATTTCTCCCACCTAAACCAGTTCAACACAGCAAGAAAATTCAGCATTGCTAGCAAGGGAGCCATAAGTGACCATTATCCAAAAGAACGACGACCTAAAGACCAGCATATTAAAAACAAACAAATAATTAAATAATTCTAAGCTTAAATTTCAATTTTAATTTATTTTCCTCTCAATTCGTGAAACCAGAACAGACGGAATTGAAGAAAAGAAAATAGAAAGTTTACAAGGCCACGTTGCACGCCATCGGGCTTGACCATTATGTAAGTTTGGTCCACCTGTTCCTGCACATTAGAAGAAGAAACAATTACAGACACGCTTATGACAAACGAAATTTCAAATAATTGAGAGAGAAAGAGGGAGAGAAAACCATGGAAGCAATTAAGTGAGGAAGGAAAATGGAAGAGGTTCTGGTGCGTAGGGCTTTAGCACGCGGAGGAGAATATGAAAAAAGATGGGATTGCGAAGGAAATGCAGTTAGGCGTTGGTGATGGATGGCAATGGCGCGTAATAGAGGCCTTTTGGTTAGTGTTGGTGAGCGTTGAAGAGAGGATGTGACGCAACCCCTGCTTCCACCGAACACTGCCGCACACTCCATCTTCTTCCTTCCCCTGTCTGCGGCTGTCTTCGGGTAAGAATCAAAATTTCTCTCACCTTTCTTCTTTCCAATTTGGATTGGATGGGGTTAACCAAGAAAGCGACTATATTTAAACTTTTTTTTTTTTTGTTAATTTAATATATATATATATATATATATAATACCTTATATAAGAGGAATTACACTAGAATATACAATTTTTCTCAAATTTATAATCTCTTTTTAATAGTTGAAAAATGAAAGAGTATTCATCTATAAGACATAGTAAAAAATTCTTTTATTATTACAGAAATTGTTTTATCATTTGTTTTACTTCATTTTTATTTTTTAATACTAATTTATAATTTTTTTATCATCTTTCTCTAATTATCTATCAAAAACATATTAAAAATGATTTATATAATAACTTGAAAATTAATAAAATATCCTATATTTTTTACGTGTGAAATAATCATTACTATTATATTAAATATGTATAATAAATAATATATATTAATCATTCATCTTAAAAAAACATAAGTATTTTTAAATTTTTAAAATATTAGAATAATTATAACTATCAGTTTAAAAAATATAAATATCTTTTTAAATTTATTTTAATTAAAATACTTTGTTAATATAATAAATTTTATAATATAATAGAATTAAATATAATTATATAATTAAATAAATTGATATAATAATTATAATAATAATAATAAATTCACCATAAATATAAATTGAGAGTATTTACTCTATTCTTTAAACACATACAAATATAGGTACACTACTCGCCATGAAATAAAAAAACCTTCAAAACATTTTTAATGAATTTCAAACAATTTTTTAAAAATAATATTTAGGAAAAATAGAATTTTTAAAGAAAAATATAATAAATAATTGTATATGTGTTTTAATTTAAATTTTTATTTCTATGCAAATAATTAATTAAGAGTATGTTTGAATATATAATTTAATTAAGTACTTATTTAATATTTTTTATATGAGAGTTTATGTGATTATGTCTTAAATTTTTTATAAATTTTATTAAAATAAATTAAAAATAATATATTTTATAAGTTAGATAAATTTTTAATTAAAATAAATTTTAAAAATTTATAAGAGTAGTAAATTATTTTATAATTGTTTATAAACTCTTCCTAACCACTCATAATAACTAAATAACCAAATAACAATACTCTTTTGTGTAATTGTGTATTACAAATTAGTTATACAAAATGTGGATTATAAATTATAATTAAAAAAGGAGGATTAGAAATACTTAATTAAAAAAACCATAACCCGATGTGACCTAATGGTATTTTATTATTTAGGATTCTAAAGACACTCTCTTGATAGAAGATTAATCAAATATCTATGCTTAATTCCCTCTTACTTGTTTCTTATTTTTCTTAAGAAAAAAATATACATTAGTAATCAATTTTTTTTTTCTAATTAGTTTTATAAACTTAACTTCATGTATTTTTTGTTATTAATTAATTTTCAATATTATTGTTGAAGATCAATAATAGACACCAAAATAACAATGGATGAAAAATTTGTGTGGAGACTAACACACGATCAATAATATAAAATGCTCAATGTTAATTTTATATAAAAATCAAATTAATATTGGTTGTATCTCTACTTGTATCTTTAGAGTAAATAAATATAAGTTATTTTTGACAAATTTTTTCTTTAAAACGGAGCACCATTTTTTCTTTCTAAAATTTCTTATACAAAAAAAATAATAAAAATACAGTACTTGTTTTAAACTCTATTAATTTAATATAAAGATTCAATCAAGATTTAGCCTCGTTTAAAAATTGATTTTTTTTTGTGCGCACACCAATGTTCATTTAACGCCATTATAACAAGCTTAAATAGCAGGACAAAAATTAGTAAGGCTAATTTTTGTATAATACAAAAAGGAAAAAAAAAGAGAGAGAGGATTTTCTCGTACAATTAGACTCATCCATAAATTAGCATTAGGTATAGAAACCAAATGATTGTTTTTAAGACTTTGTTTGATAAACATGTGGATAAATGCTTGTAAGAGAAGAAAATTAATATAACTTTTTCTATAAATTAAAATTAATTTATACTTTTTAATTTATAAAAAAAAATTGATTTTTTATATTTTTTTTTTCTCATGAGAATTTATTCATAAATTCTCCCAAACATCACCTATGTAACTTACCTAAGTAACATAAGTTGATTCACTTGTCTCGTTGAAATGAAACAAAGCAAATATAGATCAGATATTGTTTCCAAGGCATGTCTTAAAAAGATTATGGAATCCCATCACGGTATAAGCTAATTGGTAGCCACATCATAATATATTCGGTATTTAAATAAACATTTACATTTTGGTGGCCTCCTAACCAAGATTAGTTTGTGACGTAGATGTTTTACACATTAATATTGTTATAGTTTAGCTTCTGTATATGTAGTCATCATTTGGAGGAAAGGTTTTTCAAGACGTTGTTGAAAACTTTTAACAAAGAGCAACAATGTTGGGTAATTGAGAAACGTATAGCCTCCTTTCAATAGTACCTTGGGCGAGTTTGATGATGAAATCCATTAATCGGCTCATTATATTTCCTGTTTTCTTTTAGAGTAATGCTAACACTAACACACTTTTAATATTTTTAAAAAGTGTTACGCTGGCATTCCTCTTTCTTCGTCCAATAATGATATAATAACATATGCAAGTAACAACTAGCCAAGAATGATACTGGTTATTGCGATGGTGGCAGTTGGCATCAGGTATGTATAGTTGTGAAATTCACATTGCCTTAGCTGTTGTTCGCCGCCAACAAATTAAAGGAAATAGTTGTTTTTCTATAATTTTTTAAAGGATTGTCTACTGTGTTTTTATACATGATCTGAAATTTTTATACAAAATTTCAATTTTTATTTTCTTATTATGTACTTATCAACACATAACAAAATTTCTTTCAAAAAAAATTAAAACTAGTCAACTTAAATATGCATTAAAATGACTGATGACATGACTTTCAAATCAATTTCCTTCTCTATATGTGTCAAAGCTAGTCTTACTAGAATCTCAACACATCATGTATACTTGCAAATCTTGCCTAGGATAATAAATAGAACATTTGAACTTAAAACAAATGGATGTATTTAGAGGGGACGAGATCTTGACCCCTTCCTTCTCAAATAATTTTCTTAAAAAATTACAGAGATTTTATTTTTATGTAAAAAAAATATGAAATCAATTTACTGATATTATTACGAATTATTAACTCCTCCGTTTGGAATTTGGATTCAGTGTAGTTAAAAAAAGATGTTGTGAGTACAGTCAAATGTAAAGTATCAATGTACTTCACATTTTAAAGTATATATAACTTGTATAAATCTATCAATATTTTAATGTTAAAAGAATGAAAGAAATGTCAGAATTTATATGTTAAGTTCTGGCCCACATTATGCACACCAAACAAGAAGTTCAAATTTTATTTCATCTGTTCGATCCCGAGCAGCCATAAACAGAATTACTGAAAAAGATTTTATTCTTACCCAAAAATTCAGTGCTTTCAAATCACTGATTTGGGTCCTAATTCACAACGTTATTTATTTAAGCACAAACAGCTTCCTATGAAACTGTTATTTATTGACAGATTCCAAACACCAAAGTGAAACATCAGGGAAATGGAGATACACACATTCAGCATTTCCAACAGGAAACTGCAACAATAGGCTTTGACTTCCAGCCAAGCACCAAGCACCCTTTCTCTTCCACAACCGTATACCCATCACAAACCTTGTTCTTGGTTAGCCACTGCTTAGCCTGAGCCACCATCTTAATAGGTGCAGCCTGAAACCCAGCCCTACTCATTCTCCTACGCCACTGGTCCACTCTCTCGTGCCTCTCCATCCTCAATGGCCCCTCACAACTCACAATGTTCTTTATCTCCTCAGCAAAGTAAAACTGCTCCATCTTTGCCCTCTTAGTGTCATATTTTGGCAACATAACATCCAATGAGTCAAAAATAGCTGAGTAATAGTGCAATGACTCCATAAACCTTCCAAGAAAAAAGGGTCCATTATGACTCGAATCTTGCTCCACCATCACCAACACTTTTGGTGAAAGCCCATGAACCATCTGCAAGACAGAGTTCAAAGCCCCACGACTCTCTTTCACCACACAATGCAGCTGAAGAATGCTATTCACCACAAGAACCTCTTCCTCTCTCACTTTTATATCCTCAGGCTGCAAACTTTCTAAATTCTTTTGCACCACTTGGAACTCCAAGTTAATGCCCAAGTTATTTGCATAAACCGAGAGTTCCTCACCGATGGTTTTGAGTCTCTCACAAAGTCCTACACCTGTGATTCTTAGGCAACGTACACGTTGACCAGCACGGTTTGCTAGGCTTTGGATAAGTCCCCTCCACTGGTGCCCATGTTTAAGACCAAGGCTCATACCTAAGTCAACCACATGAACGAAACTCTCACCCTCAAAGGCTTCCAATACTGTGGCATTAGCCACAAAGTGTCCAAACTGAATGTGCGGACATGTTTCATAAACCAACCTAAACGCTTCTTCCTTTTCTTCAGAAGCTGCGTCCATGATGTTCATCATAGGCTGCATCACCCCCACAGGCCCAATAGGTTGGATCAAAGTGAGCCTCTCAGCCAGGCCTTGCACGAAACAAGAAGCGACCCTTTGGAATGAAGACCCGAAAACCAAAGCATTGGCTTTGAGTTCAGATAGTAATATCGAAGCGTGTGATTTGTCACGACATGCCACTGCTTCAGCACATGCAATTAGAAGTTGAACAAGCCTCATTCCATCAGCACACCCATCTTCTTCACTCTCAGAAATGTTCATATCTTCTGATCCCTCTTCAACACCTTCAGCTGCAAGATATCTTTGTGTATAAGTCTGTATGTGATCTCTGAAATGCTTTTTCGTGCTGTTCCTACTGCTATTAGTGTTGAGGCTTGAATGGGTGTTAAAGCTTCCCAACCAAAAGGGAATTTCCACGGTTCTCTTCCTCTTATTATTCCTCGTGGTTTCATCGCATAAGGGAATGAACAAAGTTGGGGTGCTACTCTCCAAAACATGTTGATGGGGACAATAGGCATAGTGATCCATTGTGGGGATATCAACAATATAAAGATTTTCCCCATCGATTTCACCTTTGAAGGCACTATAAAGAGTTGGGGACATCGCTGTAGCCTTGCTTTTCTTCTTCTCTTTTTGTAAAGATTTTCAACAACGCTCTGAAAGAACCTCCCTCCAAGTGATGCCAATAAATAGAAGGCTCTTCAGTCTCTTAACATGAAGTGTTTTTCCTCGTGACGTGATGCACTATGATTTTGCATTAGATACATAAAGAATATGTACCTCAAGTTTTCTACTTGTCCTGTTGAAATGTAACATAGCGATCTATTAGTTATTACCGAAACATCGTTTTTCCCATGATTTTGGAATTTCCTGAACGGTTTACACTGATTGGTCGCCACAGCATTATATATTCCGTAATTAAATAACATGGTCCATTTTTGTCTCCATTTATGCTGTCCTTTTTTGAGGAGAGAACCAAGATCAAATAGTTTGGTGTGTTGGAGGTAAGATTGTTTTATCGTTTAATATTATTATAGTTACTGCAGTGTTAATAAAATCAAATTTGTTAAAAAAAATTATCTTGGGTTTTGGCTGCCCCAGTTATTATCAACCTTAGTTCTACCCCTCGTTCGGGTTTAACGTTTTCTTTGCCTCGTTTTTCATAATCTTCATCATTTATATACTGTGATTAACTCACTAGAGTGAAATGCTTACCACTTACAAGCAATCAATTCTGAGCGACCCATAGAAAGACTGAAAGAGTGGGTTTACGGATAAAATGGAACAAATAGCTCTAGCTAGTGGGAATTAGTAAATAGAAAAATTGCAGATTATAATTAAGCGCGGGTGATATTTAATGCTATAGTTGACTTTTTTTCAGTGGAGAGGGATGAAAAAATTTACCCTCTGCGCGCGCGAGCACACATAATATATATATATATATATATATATATATAATAAAACATTATTCATTAATAAAGTATATATATAACACGATTCTTTTGAAAGACTCCGTTATTTATCAACTATGTTATACTTTATCAATGAATAATATTTTATTTTATTTTATATATATATATATAATGTTATTCAGCACTATAAGGGCATTGATTAATAAAATTAAAGTTATTTTTTAGAAATACTAATTCATGTATTTAAAATTAAACCACTAAATTAACTACAAAAATTTATTAAATCGATATTCAAATAAATTGAAAATAAAAAATACGACATTTTACATTATGATTTAGTTTTAAATTTCTATTATTAAAACCAAATTAAACCACGCACTTATAATATGTTAATTTTTTATATTTTTATATAAAAGATAATTTTTATACTCAATTTTATTATAACATTGATTAAATATATGATATATCATTTCTATTTCCTTAAAACTCTATTTTTTAATTAAGTATCATTTCCTTTTTTAACCAATAAATTTATCATTTTTCTATTATTTATTTTTTTAAAAATTATTTTAATTTTTAGACTACTAATCTGTCTAAATTAACAATTAAATTAAAATTATAATAATAAACTATTTTTAAAAAAATAATCTAAATCAAAACAAAATATCAATTTGGTTTGGTTCAGTTTTAATATTGAAATTGAATAAAATTGAATGACATGTTATTTATGTGTAGTTTGAATTATTTTGAGTAAAAATTGAAGCAAACTAAATTGTGACATTTCTATTTCATTGTATCATACTTTTAATGTTCTCCATCATAATTTTATTTATTATTTATTAATCAATCAATATTCAAGATATCAGTTAATAAATTTTTTTATTCATTATAAGATTAATTTTTTTAAAAATTAATATTAAAATAAATATATTCTTCATATAACAATCTATGTAGTTCTAATTCGTTCATTATTAAATGCAAAGCAATTCTAATTATTAGAATTCTTAATGTGAATACTATCACTTTTATATAAGGTTAATGGAATTATTCATCATTTTAAATATTTATTTTCTAAGAATTGATCAATAAAAAAATAGGTGTTAGTGTTATTTAATAAAAATATGAAGTGTGTGTCTTGTTTGTTTCGATGAAAAAAGAAAAATAAAAAAAAATGGAGCAAAACTATTTTTTATTATTGGAAGAAAGTTTTTTAGATCTTATCTTAAATTGTATTTTGATAATTTTTATGATATATTATAAATTAGAATGGTATTTCATGTCTTTTATACGTGAAATAATAATTATTATTAATTTTATATTAATTGATAGTGGGATTAATGATTTATATAAAAATAAATAAATATTTTGTAAATTTTAAGATATAAAAAGAATTACAATCAACCTAAACAAGGATCTTACATTTCATTCTAAATTGGGGAAAAGGAAAGGGGAGAGTGATGTATACAAATATATTCCTATTTCAAATATTCGTTTGTCTGCATTCTGCTAACTACACTTCATTTGAGACATGTAGGTTTCTCCATTTCTTATTTTTGTTCTATATTTTGATGCTATTATGATTCCATTTTTGCTCAATAAGATAAAGCTCCTCCCACTTGAAGATGTCAACAAGGATGAATCCCAACACGACGAAGACAATGAGGGAAGATAACGGGTTTTTAAAATGATTGAAAGATTATTTTTTAAAAAATATATTATGATATAATATTTATAAATTTAATTAAAATACACTGATAATGTAAATGTTTTTTACAGTATCATTCACTTATACATTTTTATATAAGCAATAATTTTTTATTTTTTTATAACTACTATAAAAATATTTATTGTATATTTAAATTAATTGATAGTTTAAAAGTTTTTACAGTGACAATAAATTAAATTTAAATTAATGTTTTATTTAATTATATTACTTTTAAGAATATTATTTGTTTGATTTTGATATGTAAAAAATATCAATAAATTATCATGGATGTGATTTTTAAAATAATTATTAAAATAATAATTTTTAATGAAGTGACAATTCATAATCGAAAGGGTAGATAAAAAGTTGACACTATATTTTATTTAAATTTGAGTTATTTTTCACAACTTCAAAAAAAAAAAACTATAATAGAATAATTCTCATAATTTAACGAATCCCATCAATAAGTGCTGCAATATGATAGAATAATTTCCAATTCTCTTACATAGACTTATTATTATTTTTACTAATTAAATAAAAAAAGTATCAATTTTTTATGGTTTTAAAATAAAAAATACATGTATTTTTAAATTAATTACTTTTTATGCTTTCTTTATTATCTATCGTTTAAGGTTGTAACATACAAATTAAAAAATAATAATTAAACTATTCAATTGTGTTAAAATTATTTATAATTCCTAATTTGACATTTATTTTTCTTGCGGATTACTTTGATATTTCACATGGTACAACCAATCTCTCTTGATAACGATATAATTGAGGAAAAAATTAAGAAGTATCTTAGAATTTTAAAATACTAATAAATAAAATTAATTGAATTTTTTTATTTAAAAGAGATGAATAAACAAATGAAAATAGTAAAGTTAATTAACTTTTCATCCTCACTATGGAGGGAAAATTATTTGGTAGCCCTATTCGATTAAATAAGGGTCTCCATCTCCATTGCTTTGAACTTATATTACTGTTGATTTCCGGGGTTTATCGTTTTCCGATCACATTTATTTTCTATGGGGCAAAATAATTTATTAATGTTACATTAAATAAGTCCTGATGTGAGATTTTATTGGCATGGATGTGATATTTTTACGCACTTACTTGAATTTCTAAAAAGTTTTAAAAAATTAGACTTTATTGAATTTGAGCACTATTTTATGAATACAAATTAAATCTAAGGCCTTTCTCACGTCCTTGTTATATAATTTAAGCATTTGCTAAAAAATCTATTAACATAAATTTAATAAATAAATTATTACTAAAAATATTAAAAAATAAACACATATCTATCATCATATAAATGTCAAACCAAACATGATGTGAAACGATTACAAGTAACTATTGATTGGCAAGTTTTATTATTTTAAAAAATATGTATAATATTAATTTCATTTTGATAATTTATATAATCATAATCGATATTTTAACTTTTATTTATTTATTTTATCACCGTAACTTTGTTGATAAAGATGTGTATATTCCACCGTTATTATCAAACGATAAAACACCTTTAATACGGCTTAGGCTTAGTATTAATTTTGCACAAACAACCAATCATGTGCTTAGCAGACAAAAAAAAAATTACACACAGATGGTTTGACATTAAATAATTTTCTGTTTTACAATTTTGGACAAAAAATTGAATTGTTATTAATGATATAACGAGTTCACACTTATAGTATGATATAATATATTAATAGATGATTTCGATGGTATATAAAACTTTATATATCTATCAGAATATCAAAGTATTAGAATACTCTATTATATGATTAGTATAAATTAATAACATGTATATTAATATTTTTTTTACCAGACAATAAATTATATAAAATTTAACGATAATGATGGTTGAATTAATAAAACCATCTATCTATCTATATATTGTTCATAGAGATTTAAAAATATAAAGAATTATTTAAATATATTAAAATAGTTAGTTCAAAGATAAAGCCTGGAATGTAACTTAAGAAAGTGTGTAAAGCTCGGAAATCAATTAACAAGATCAAATGCGATGGCCAGATAATTACGTTAAAAATTTCTTTAAATTCTGTAATTTTTATAAATATATATAAAAATATTTAAATTCTGTAGTTGTAGTTGTAGTTATTAATGGTTTTTTTTTTTTTATGATACAATAAATTATATAAAATAAAAAAAGTTTAAATGTTTGATTTATTTATCTAAATTTTTTTTTTCAAATGTTACTTTTAATTTCTCTAAATGATATGATTTATTGAGATAGTATAAACGTTTAGAAAAGTAAAGATTATATTCTAAAAAATAATTTACGTAGATTAAATTTAAATTATTTAAATTATATAACTTTTGTAGAAATGAAACATTTAATTATCTCCTTAAGCCTAGTTGTAGTTGTAGTTATAATAATTGTTAAAAAATGAATTGCCGGCTTTAGTGACAAGTAACGACAAGGAGAAAGAAGCAAGGAACAATACAATGGCAGTGTGCTT